CTACAATTATTAATAAACGCATTTATATGTTGTACAAAAAGTCACAAAATTCTAAGAAATTGTGTCATTATATACATAATTGTTTTTCTAATTGAAATTAAAAAGCAGTCAAAATGACTTCCTTGGGCAATCTAGTGTTAAGCATAGTACATGAAAACTTATCATCTTAGCAGATAGCTGAGATTTCATAGTCATATTTAAAAAAAAAAAACCTTCTTTTGTAATATATGTATTAAAATAATCGCATTAAAAAAAAATTGCTGTCAACCGCAGTAGTAGGACACATTTAATCTCGAGTAGTGTAGTAGGACAAGTATGGAATCAAAACTGGGACAATATTATTATGACGCCTCTAAGCGACTTGAGAAAGAGTTGGATTAAGAGAAAGGGTTGAAAAGTTATGAAAATACACTAAATCATTTATTGTGAAAAATATATCATACGTTTGAATGCCTTTTATACCAGATCCGAATTTATCCAGGTATTGCAGCGCGATTAATTAGTGAGGGGCTAAACCTGGACAGCCATTGTCGTCTTGTCCCACTTCTACGTATTAAGTTTCAAAAGGGATTGTAAACTTGGACAGTAAATTATTAAATACATATCTATTATGTCCAAGTACTGGTTCCAAAATTCGTTTTGTCCCAGTACTACTTCCTTTACTTTAGTTGTCAGTTCCAAAAAAGGTCGTATGCAATTTTCTTCTAACTCCATTTGTTCAAGAGTAATTGATAATGGATGAAATAATTAATCGATTACTACTGAATTATTCGAGATAGAAGAAAATTATATTACTTTTTTTGCAGGTAATTGCAGTACCTACAATTTTTGTTTGTTGACGCTCGGCCGTGACTTAGCGCGGGCTCTATACACTCTTTCATTGGTCAGTATTTTTCATTAATAATTCAAAAACCATAGCTCGCTATGCATTTTACCAAGGAAATTGTTGTTCAGAAACACCTATAGAATCACCCCTTTTTGGCTGTAACACTTTCTCTGGGATACCCTGTACAGGAGGATCTTCTAAATATTAAAATTCAATCGCCACTTTTGCACGAAACAGACTCTGGATATAACAGGTTTAATATTCCTTTATTATCGTCGAACTATTTACATCCGAATTACATTGTTTCCAGGTATGCGCTTCTCACATTATTTTCAGCGATATGATACATAGATCGCATACCAAAAGCATATTGCGCGATTTCTTAATCGACGGAACGAAAGAGAACGTGTCGCCGAGAGCGTTTTCGTTGTCTTCAAATTAAAAAATGGATAACGAAAAAGGCGTTCATTATTCGAATCGATCGTTACAGACAGGATCGTTTGGTAGCGCGAGACATTTTTACACCGTAGAGAACGGTGGGATTCTACAAATTCATTTCTACGGCACTAATTTGCAGCTGTTAGACTAGATTCTTTTTGTTAACAAGTTACGGTCACTTAGAATTTAAAAAAAAAATCGATTTCTTTTTCTTCCTTTTTCTAAAAGTATACCATTTCAAAAATATTGCCTCAAAACTTCATCGAAATCGAAAACATTTAACGGAGATACACAAATTTAACTGCAGGTGTCTCGAGCGTGTTTGTTTATAGTAATTGTTATAGTCATTCAGTAATTGTTGCAATATTATTTTCTCAAACTGGAAAATAATATATAATATAACGTATACATATACGTGTATACTATTGACTCGTTGAAATATGCATCATTCGAACTGGGGATCATTCATTAATAAACATTGACCTGATAGAGCTCAATGTTAATAAATAATAAAACCTGTTTTCAACAAAAAATTCCCAGAAAAAGCGTTTTTTTTTATGTCACGAGTGACCGTAACCCTTTTAGCATTACGATTTCATCGTAAGCGTACACGTTTCTCAATTTCTCTTTCAACAACGATGAACATGTTGAAAAAGTGTAGAGGATTGTCGAGCGAATATTGTCTATACAGAATCGAATCGTCGACCGAACAGTTTTATCTCTCGTTGATCCCACGTTGGACGACGCGTCGTCCGCGTCCGTCCGTTTCCGCAGCTGAGCTGCGAGGCTTAGAACTACATCACTTTTCGACTGTCCACTTTATACTGTTCCTCCGGAGGTAGAAAGTGATCGAGGGATAATTTGGAATTGGTTTCTAAGGTTCTCGTTAATCGAGAGCAAACGCGACCCTCGTGGCTCATTTCGCGTTTTTAATGACTCCGCTTCGTTGGCAAGCACTAACAAACAGCAATTAGAAGCTTTCGGCGCTCGGAAATGATTACGCAACTTCTCTAGGCTTTTACTGTACAATTTCATTTCTCTTCTTCCTACAACGTCGATCGTTTAACTATAACTGAACGTTTAGCGCTACCACCCTTAACCTCTACGCGTTTTATATTATATATATATATATATTTCATTTTATTGCACGTATTAACGTGACTCGCGAGCGATCGTTCGAATAGGTCTTCGCAGAAACATCGAAGCCACGTATTTCGAATTGCGAAAATTGACATTTTTATTTATTATTTTCAGATCTCTGCCCAGTTTTGGTCGGATCGTCGTTAACGAATCGACGGCAGCTCGAAGATATTCTTAGGTCATATGCAGATCCCCCTTTAAGATCCTTGTGAACGTTTTTTTGAACTGCTGATTGGCCAGAGCGTAACAAAACGGGTTTATCGGACTGTTCGTGTAACAAAGGAAGTAAGAGAACATGTACAGGTGTTCGTTGGTACACGGCTTGTTCGTGCAGAATCCTTCGACGAGCGCCAGGACGTGGTACGGCGTCCAACAGGCCACGAACGCTCCTAGGATGAAAGAGATCGTTCGGAAAGCCTTCCGAGCTCGATTCTCCGTTCTAGACTTCTGTCTACCTATCAGAGGATCCCTCCTCTGAGTCTTGCTCTTCAACCTCTTGCCTATCGTTCTCACGAAGTCCTTCGTCGATCCGGTCGCGTCGCCATTTCTACTTTTCTTCTTCTGCGAGCGACTCTTCGGGTCCAGCTCGGTGGCCGTGGCTCCGGAACCGGTCGGCACGTTGCTGCCGCTCGAAGACGAGGTCTGAGGAGGGTTCGTCGACAGTGGGGACCGGTCCAGAGACTTCTTCGAGAGATCAGACCCGCTCTCCAACGGCTTCTCGACGGTCTCTGCCGCTTGGCAGTTGACAACGGTCGTTACCGGCTGACGTTTAGCTCCTTCCGATTTTATCTGCACCTCGGTCTGCACCTTGGTGACCGTGGGAGACGTCTGCGAGGCCACGTTCGTCTTGTGGGTGATGAAGACCCTGGGGGGATGCGTTTGACTGGAAGCATTGAACATGACCGGACCGTTGAGCTCGGCTCGGGGCTGGCTGCTGGCTTGCTGCGCGGTCGCTCTGATCAGGGCAGCTTGTAGAAGACTGGTGTTGGGTCCGGTGGACCCGAAATTGCCTAGAACGGGCGAAGAAGGCGCGCTCGAGAGCGGATTGGCCAGGCTGTAGGAATAAGATGAGGAAGGCGTCTCGTAAGACGGGCTCGGAACGATGATCGAGCTCTCGTCCATGAACTTCAAGTCTCCGCCGTCCAGGCCAGTCAGGATGTCGAAAGTTGCGATTCCCTGAATCGCGAGGGACCCGCGGGAAGTACCGATCAACGATCTCGGCCTGTCGGACGAGGACGAGTCGTCGGAGACTCCTGGGCTAGTCTGAAACTGGCTGGGGGGAGGAATTATGTTCTGCTGACTTCCGCTGATCGACCGGGGAACCTTCGAAGCCGAGATATCGGACGACTCGTTCGACTCGGGGGTCAGAGTTCGACTGCTGGACCTGTTCTCAGTTTGTAGAATGTTTTCCGAGTCCAGCGAGCTCAGTTCTTGAATTCTAGGCAGGACTCGACCTCTTTGAGTCACCGAACTCGCGTCAGAGACCAGACCGCTCGCCCGAGACTCCGGTTTACCGTCTCTCTCGGGCCGCCGAGACTCGATCTTTGCCCGCGGAGCGTTCCATTCGGATGCCTCGCACTGTTTCCCAGGTGCTCCGTCGACAGATTTCTGCGGTTCTGTCTCGATCGCTTCCTCGGGTCGCGTTCCAGTTCCTCGGGGCTCGATCTTCGCCGTGAGAATCGCGTTCACTTGCCCGTTCGACGGCAGAACCGATAGCACTCCGCTCTGCGCCACTAAATTCGCTATGGACCTCTTCCTGATGTTCAACTGGCCCGGCATCAGAGTGCTCTCCTCGTCGGAGTCGAAGGCAGGACTGCTGGATCTCTCCGATTTCTCGACTTCGGTCAAATTAAAGCTTCCACAGGCACCCTTCCGGTCGTGATCCGCCCGTTTCTCGGCCTCGGAAGACTTCGAGGTCTTCCGTGTCGACGAATCCTTTCCTAGATCTCCTCCGGTAACGCCCAGAGTCGAGGTGTCTCTCGCCGAACCGGGTGGTTCCTTTTCGGGCCCGAGCAAGTCCTTTCCCAGGCTCTCGTCTTCAGTCTTCGGTCTGTCCTGGCTGAGCAAAGTGCTCTGTGTCTTGGAGAGGCCGATACCAGCTGCCCTGGCCATACCGGACATGGCACCGGCGCTCAGAGCCACCATCGACTGCATCTTCCTCTGCTTAGCTTCGCTCTTCTTCTGCATGTCGTAAGCCGTCTTGTAGATACCACCGTATAAAATGAACAGCACCACCAGAGTGGTCCAGTAGTAACCGATTATGAGGGCCGTGTTGAAAATTGGATCTTTTAAAAATTGTACCGCGCATTCCCCCGGGTCCAAGTCCCTGTACCCGATGAAGTGCTCCCAGCCGAAGATACTGCTGAAAAATAGTAACGCCGGGATGATCCACGTGATGGTCACCATCCATATCACTCGGTTCTTCGTTCTCCAGCTTCGGTACTTCGCGGCTATTTTTACGGAACAGAACCGGTCGATGGTTATCAGTAGGACCGTGTACTGAGACACCAGGCAGACGGTATAGTCTACGGACAACCATAGGTCGCAGAGCAGAGGCCCCAGATTCCAGTAACCCATCAGGACGTACACCGTGTAAAATGGCATTGAAACGGTCCCTGTAGCAGAATCGAGCGTGGTTCTCATTTAAGGATGTATTGGTTATACAGTCAATTCCAAAAGTTTATGTACTTTAGAAACGCATTTTTNNNATCCCAGCGTCGAAACGGCGAACTTTTGGCAAAAAATTTCATTTTTCCTTAATTACTCCTAAACCGTTGAATCTACGGGAAAATTGTATACGACCTTTCTTGTAGAGGACGACGAGATCTATAATTTCCATGTAAACATTTTTCGCTAGCGTCAATAGTTAACGAGTAATTTGCAAAAAACTGTTTTTTCGTTTTTCGTCAATAACTCGTTAAATATTAATGCTAGCGAAAAACTTTTATACAGAAATTGTAGATCTCGTCGTCCTCTACAAGAAAGGTCGTATACAATTTTCCCGTAGATTCAACGGTTTAGGAGTAATTAAGGAAAAATGAAATTTTTTGCCAAAAATTCGCCGTTTCGACGCTGGGATGGTCGGATTTTGTCAACATCAATAAAATGCCAAATAATCATACGTAACTCGTTAAATATCGAAGTTAGAAGGAAAACAACTTTTATTTAAAGTACTTTTCGCAATTTTGAAAAAAAATTTTCGTCAGCGTCAATACTTAACCCCTTGACATACAAATTAAATGGAACTTGACATACAAATTAAATGGAACTTTACATACAAATTAAATGGAATAAATGACGAGTCAGACTCGTCATTTTATGTCAAGGGGTTAATTGGATATTTCCTTATATACTTTTTAACACGTAGCTATTTATTATTAGCATTATTCTTAATTTCTTTCTTTTTAGATTAGATTTCTTTTTAATTATAAGAAACGCGTTTTTCTAAGGTACATAAACTTTTGGGATTGACTATATAGCCAATACATCCTTAAGGTAGATCGGGACAAGGAGACTGTGACGCGCGTAAAGGAGACCGAGCTGGCCGAGACGACTCGGCGGTGTTTCTCGGCTCGGCTCGGATCGTCATTAAATGTTAAGGAAATTGCCCAATTAGAAAACATCGATTGTGATTAACTTCTTACACAATGATGATACCATAAACAGATGCAAGACATTTTTGAGTAACAATGATTCCGTTTGAAGGAATAACGAAAGACCTCAGTGTAACCTTCAGTGTAATTCCATAAAGTCCTTATATCCTGGAAACTATTTCAGATAAAAAAAAATCCAAACGCTTTCAGAGAAATATACTGTTCACGAGAAATTAAACTATATAAATAGTTTTTGCGAAAATCATATATAGTTACGAATTTTGTACTTTCATTGATTTTTTTGCCCCTTGAAAGCGAATTATGGATGCAAAAAAATATGACTTGATTCAAAATCATGTAATATTCATCTTACAAAAAATATGTGTGACATCCTTTGTACTTATAATAAATAATTCCTTATTGTGAAATTTAACTATAGGATTTAAATGTGTATTCTGGCCCCGCAAATAGTCACACCGGCCCTGCGCATGTGTTAGAAATTTCTATGCGGTACGCAATGAGTTAAATGGGACAGGCTTCTCGGGTCGGTCGCAATCACCTATGAGCATGTCCGTAGCGGCTAGAGATGCTATGAAGTAGTTGCTCGGCTGTCTGATCCCTCTGTCCACTATGAACGCCAGTAGAACCAGAATGTTGCCCCCCACCGTCAAGAGAATGCAAAGAGCCAGAGAGAACGCGATGAGGATTGTCTGCCACAGTTCAAACGGAGGCAGAACCGGTGCGAGAACGTCGCCTGTGGAACGTGAACGTTGGATCTGCGTGATAAAAGTATAGAGAATCGTGGTTCTTCAAGAGACAGAGACGTTTACCTGTTGACGAACCTGTTGAACTCCCGTTTATCGACGTATTAGTGGCGTTCGGGGTGAACCAGTCCGACAAGAGCTCGACGTATTCGCCGCTGGTCCATCTGGGATCGTCCGAATCGGGCCAGCTTCCATTTATCTGGGTGCATTCGGTCAGAATTTGATTGTACATGCGACACAGACGTTCCCGTTGTCTGTCCCGCTTCCTACAAATCATTTTCTACATTCCGAATGTATATCTTCGATCCGTCGGTTGGGACGAAACGAAAAAATTTAATTCGATCCCGATAGGACTTCGGCGAACGAAGGACGGAACGTTTGGTTCAAAGGGAGAAATCTTCGATTCGATGAGAGAGCGCGCCGGGACTATGAACAAAAGAACCTGGCGGCGTTATTTCTTTAACAATGTCCCAAGAAAGCCGTGACAGCGGTGTTTCCTGGCTGTAGCCAGCTCTTTCGCTCCCTATGAAACATTCGTCGCATCCGTGGAACACGAGGGGCTTGAATAGACCTCCGAGCGCACAATGAGCTTGAAATAAGCATGAATGGAACCGCATCCACTCCCCCGTCGCTTCGTTTCGCCTGGCTAGGGTCCTCGTTTCGCCCGGCGGGCAAGAAACGAGGCTTGAAGAGGCCGGACGACGCCTTTTTGAATAATTCACCTGCAGCCGATCGCGAGGTTGCCTCGGTTAGTCGAACTTTACGTTCTACGTCCCTCGACCTTTCAAGTGCCGACTTCCGCTTCGTTACAATTTCTACTGAAGCGAGAGCGATCGTCCCTTCGGTTCGCCGAGACCAAATCGTACGAGGCTCGATCCGGGTTTTTTCTCCGTACGATCGTGTCGCGGCGAACTCCGAGGAATAGTCGCGAATCCAAGGTTTACCAGCGATCCCTTTTAACCGAGTTGGCGTACTTGGAACGAAAAGTGTGCCGTAGGCACGTGTCTGGGTAGCCCCGGGCCACGCTCTCAGAAGATCGAACTCAAAGTTCGACAACTCGGTTAAAAAAGAAAATGGGCGTCTCGATTTTCGCAGCGATAAATCGATTTGGGGATTCGTTATGAAAGAAGTACCGCGTGTCTGATTCACGGTTCTGTGAGCGATCGCAAACGAGCATTGGCGACGATATCGCAGCAACAGTTGAGATATCGTGACCGAGCCTATCTAAACGAGTTTGAAGAGCAGCCAAGTATCAATAAAGACCTCGAATATCCGTGGGTGGGGTGTATAAGCGGCGTTAGGTCGGTCAGAGAGGCCTTCCCGGGGTACTTTAAACGAGGGAGAATCCCCTCGCATCGAAACGAGGGGACGAACCATCCGTTTTGTCTAATGAGTTGTAACGCTGGCTCTTCAGATTCGTTCGACCGTAACTAAAATCCCTTGCAAGGGTTCTCAACCACCCGTTCCTGTTTTCCTTTGCGACGCGCCGACGGACGTCATCGAAAAATTATCCAGAAACAGTCGGACCAACCGACGCGAATCGATCGCGATAACGAATCTTCGGTCTGCTGCGAAAAAAGTACTACACTAAGTAGTTTTTCATCGTTTTCCGCGCGTATTTTCCATGAGTTGATTGCCGACTCGTTTTTAGAGTCTGTAAGCATTTGATGAAACCTGATAAATGTTTTTTTCAACGATTAATCGTTCATCGAAGATCGACGAGCGTCCGAGTAGCGGAAATCTGTGACCGTGCGTATCGGGTGAAACGTGAGAGGCCCTTAAATTAACGCGAAGCGTCACACGTTCGACGTAACGAATGAGAATCAATGAGATCCCGTACTAAGATTATTATAACAGCCAGCCAGCTGGCTAAAACAATGAAACCAGGCGAATAAAAGATAGGAGAGACACGAGAATCCATTGTTTCGATGTTCCCACTCTCGAGGGGTAAATACTTGTCCTCGTTATTTGTATATAGCCGGGATTCTCTTTCTATTTTAACGGTGAAATCATTCCTAAATACTTGTCCCCGTTGTGTACACCTCTGCTACATTTTTTTTTTCTTCTCCCTTTTACTTGCGATTCTGAACGGTGAAACGATTCGTGAGACGGCAACCTGTAATTAGTTCTTTTCTTCGAACGTCGCCAGCGAATAATCGCGGCGGCCTAAACCGGACCTGGCTTCGAGTCTCGCACGTCACAGAGGGAGACTGCACGTTCCCGTGCGCAATGAGACGTACGCGACGTCGGTTCAAAACGTCACATCCGAACAAAATTTTATTTTGCCACAGTCTCTAGACGAATTTTTTTCCACCACGAGAGGAATCGAAAAAGATAGAAATTGCCCGGTCGGTCGAAGACCGTTCGTCATGTTTTTGTCTGGTCCTCTCTGAGTCCTCATGAAAAATGTTGCGCTCAATGGCGGCAGAGGAGCGTGAAAATCCTGCGAACCGCGGAGGTTGTTACATTCTCTTTTACGCTATGAATTTGTAATTATAGCCTTGTAAAAGTAATTCGCATCGGAGTTAGTTCAGGGTTCAATTACGTTTTGAAAGCAAGGCTTCTCTTAAATAACTGGACCGTGTTTTGAAAAAATTTTATTAAAGGAGGCACAGCGGGAAGCAAAAACTGTTTTTCAGAAAATCGCGTACGTTTTATAAACAAATTTATTCCATTTTATCAGCGTACTTAGCATAGAATTCTCGTTTCCAACGACGGCCTCGAAAGAACGCGTTTGTCAAACGTGTTTCACGTTGAATCGAGTCGACGAGACGCGTGCGACGGCGAGATGAACGATCTCGAACCGCGAACTGCATTCGATCGACTTCGTCGTACGCACGAGAGTTGCTTTCGACCGTCAGACGTAGACGACGAGAGATCAAATGGTTTCGATCGATTTTTGGCTCCTCTTTGTAGATACGTTCGTCCGAAAGAGAAAGTTTCTGGTGGCTGGCCAGGCGCGTTCATTGGCCGGTATTTAGAGTCGTTGTTCTTAAGATCGTCTTAAGTATTTGCTACCCCTGTCTCTCCCATTATTCCAGTCCCTATTTTGTACAAGAAACAGGGACTAATATTTAAACGATGCTAGTATGTTGAATTTGTTATTATATTATAAATTGCTATTACTATTAAAAAGCTACTTGTAACATTTTAAATCAATTCATGGGCTTTTTGGAAAATTATAGTGACTTAAAATTTGCATGTACTCTTATGCTAATCAGCAGTAACCCAAAGAAAACTTTCTGGTGTTTGGTCTGCACGCATGAAGTTGGAAGAAACAACTGACCTGAGGAAATACAAACCTAAAATGTCTGGAATTTTTTACGCCTTTTAGAATACACATTCGTCGGTGTTGAACAGTTGCCAGATATACCTACGAAAAGATCTACGCAATTTCTTTCTAATTCTACTTGTTAAGGAATAATTAGCGATGAACAAAATAATTAATTGATTAGTTCTGAAGTATTTGAGATAGAAGAAAATTGTATACGACCTTTTTTGCAGGTGATAGCTGTACCTACAACTTTTATTTAAAACATCTTCCGAAATTTTGAGAAAAAAAAATTTTCGATTTTTCCGAGATTGTTCAAGGGGTACCCCTTAAGATTTCGCGAAATTTTCGATTTTGCCAATAACTCTCAAACCATTGGACTTACGGGAAAATTATATAAGACCTTTCTTGTAGAGGTCGACGAGATCTACAATTCCTGTATAAAAGTTTTTCGATAATGTCAATAGTTAACGAATAATTTGCAAAAAACTGTTTTTTCGTTTTTCGTCCATAACTCTTTAAATATTAATGCTAGCGAAAAACTTTTATACAGAAATTGTAGATCTCGTCGTCCTCTACAAGAAAGGTCGTATACAATTTTCCCGTAGATTCAACGGTTTAGGAGTAATTAAGGAAAAATGAAATTTTTTGCCAAAAGTTCGCCGTTTCGACGCTGGGATGGTCGGATTTTGTCAACATCAATAAAATGCCAAATAATCATACGTAACTCGTTAAATATCGAAGTTAGAAGGAAAACAACTTTTATTTGAAGCATTCTTCGCAATTTTGAAAAAAGAATTTTTCATCAGCGTCAATACCCAGCGTCAATAATTAATTGGATATTTCCTCCTATACTTTTTAGCACGTAGCTATTTATTATTAGCATTGTTCTTCCGACGTCTGATTTCTTTTTAATTACAGGAAATTCGTTTTTCTAAGGTACATAAACTTTTGGGATTGACTGTATAGCCAATACATCCTTAAGGCGATCTAAAATATAAGTAACGACTCTAAATACCGGCCATTGTTTCCCAAGGAATGCGACCGTCCAAAAGGATTAGGAAGGTTGACGATCGTCGCGCTCCCCACGGAACCTCCGAAGAGGACCCGATGAACAATAGCGATCGTTCAACGCGAATCGTTGTTCGAACTTTGAAAAAATTGTTCTCCCTTTCAAATGAAAGAAGCGACTATCCAATTTTCTTTCGCTCAATGGGCCGGATAAGATTTCGTTTGAAAGATCGGATTTGGATCAGATCCGGGTCAGATCCTGCGGTGAACCTGGCGTCAGAGTCGATAGGGCCTTTGCGGCTTCTCGAAATTAAATATTTTCGGTAGCGAACAGCTCGCGTAACAGACACGACAGGGCTCGTCAATTTGAAAGAGATACGGGCCTATAGAATTTTCGCGTCCATTTTCCCTCTCCGTCGCTTGACAAAGCGGTGAAAATTCGAAAATCAATATTTTCAACGTATCGTATACACGTACGTATAGATATCGCCACAGTTTCCAGCGCTGGGCTTATTTTTCTTCGCTTTATCTTCTACTACGCCGCGCGTGTATACATGTGTGCAACGTATTTTCTGCGGAGATATATGAACATATCTCGGTGAATAGAATTACTTCTCTTCAACCTGTCCCGGCTTTCACGGCTTTCTCTGCCGCTGGTTTATGGATGCATCGAATCCACGGAAAGGCTACTCCTCTTTTTCCCCCGTCTACCGATACACCCGAACGTCGGACGAGTCGACCTTTGAGCAAAGAAATCGACGACCCTCTTTGTCAGAGACGTACCGGTCATCGATACCGATCAGAATTTCGACGATTTTCAAGATGTCTCTCACTTGCCGAGACGATGGCACGAGAGATCGTGGACACACGGTAGACATGGGACACGATATGTAGAACGGAAAACACGGGTGGGAAACCTAATCTGGGTCGAAACGTGCCGGGTTATCCTTGACCTAGCCAGACTAATTCTCGTTCCCATCCCCTCTTTCGAAGCCGAACAGAGAGTCGTGGTATGTGCGCGCGTATAGCGACCTGTTCGAGGGTCGACGGTACCTGTTGTTTCGCGATCTACTACACGCCGCTCGTTACACCCGCGCCTCCCTCGGTCGCGTCCACCGCGCTCGGCGATGAACGAAAACAGAGATCGATGGAACGGGAACGGAAAAGGTGGCACGCGAACTGTTCATAGGGCACGCGACGCGAAACGAACAAATTTTCAATCGTCTCGCATGCGACCGAACGATAAAATAGGCAGAGCCAACGTGTACGCTCGATAAGACTCGACGAATATCGATTTTTAACGCTGTAACGGCGTCCTCGACGGCGGTGGTGGTGGTGGTTGTGGCGGCGGTTGTTAGTTTCCCTTTGACACTTGTTTAATACGGGGCACGAATAAAAATCGTTACAGACATATCTCGCATCGTGCATATACGTCGTGCGTTATACGGGCTGTCCGATGACTCCCCTTACGATCCGGTGGACACTGGCCGACTTAAGGTCTGATATCTACACTAACGTCACGTCAACGTCACGTCAACGGCACGTAGGATCTCCTTAGGTCATAGAAGGTAGTTTCGGCAGCGGAGCCAATGCTGTAGTCTTTAGGACAAGATATAGAGAACAGCGAAAGAACTCGTGAAGTAGGTAGTCTGCCTGTCGATTCGATGTCAAACGTGGGCCCCTGAGCTTCCTGCTTTTACATTCTTTTTCTTATAGGCAGGTATTCAGAGTCGTTGCTTATTTTTAAGATCGTTTTAAGCATTTGCTTAAGTCCCTGTTCCTTGTACAAGACAAGGACTGGAAATATGGGATAGACAGGGATAGCAAATTCTTGAGACGATCTTAAGAATAAGTAACGACTCTGAATACCGGCCATACTCTATCCTGTAGACTACAGCACTGGTTCCGCTGTCAAACGTAGGCCCTACGGAGACCCTACGTGACGTTAGTGTAGATAGACCTTAAAGTTATAGAGAAAAGTGTGTAAAAGCAGAGAATTCAGGGGTTCATGTTTGACACCGAATCGGCAGGCAGACTTGCCTGCTGTTTAGGATCCACTATCTGCTTCGAGGGCTTTCCCTATACTCGACCTACGTCACTCTTCACTCGCCTTGACGTCATGTCAACGGCACGTAGGGACTCCGTAGGTCATAGGACGTAGTTTTGACAGCGTAACCAGTGCTGCAGTCTTTAGGTCAGGGAAAAGCGTGTAAAAGCAGGGAGATCAGGGGCCTACGTTTGACACCGAATCTTCTTCCATTTTGTGGGTTTCATGCACCTTTTCAACGATTCTACGACAGCCTCCCTAGCTACTGATTCTCTTCTTTCAGCCGAGGCAAATGCATATTAATGAGAATTGATAATAAGTCCGTCTGTAAATTATGCGTTTCACGGTTTTAACCGCCACGAAGTTTACCGATTCCGCTCACCATTGGGTCATGTAATGAGTGCTGATGATGAAGACCGGTGAGGAAGTGCGGTTCGTCTCGGTGCTGTTGAGGCCAGGGTCGGTCCCGTTGGTCTCCATGCCTTCGGGTCAATTTCCACGCCTCCGCTGTCCGGGATCCCTTGAACTCTCGAACTCCGGGCCAGTCACCTGCGAAGCATCCTGAAAAAAAAAAACATGAACGATCGGCGGTCGTGACTGACGGAGTCGGCTCGACGAAAGGACGACTATTTTAAAAATGAAATCAGCCGGACGATCCGTCGATGCTCGAAACCCGTGGATTGGGTCGGTCCGTGAATCTCGGGTCCCGATAGGTCGTTTCGATCGATGTTTCCGAGACGAATGCTTACTTGAGAAATGTTTTAGCTCGAGAGAGAAACAGCTGATTAGCCTCTCGTAAAGTCCAGATTTCAAGTGAAATCCGCGATCAAAATATGAATCTCGTCGAGTCTCTTTGAAGGTGGGAGGAGATACTCGTCGTTGCATTGATATTCATTTATTTCGAGAACCATTCAGGGTCTTCTTTAGTTTTAATACTCGTTTAAAGGATGATATCTGGGTCTCGGGTCCGCCGGTTCCATTAGATTTTTGTACAAGATACAACCCCAACAGCACTCAATATTGCAAAAATATTGTACTGCAAGAGCGGAATATTTCAAACAATGTTGCTGCAGGGTTGCCACAAGTGAATTTCTGAAAGTACAGATGTTATTTCTATAATTCCTTTACGCTATAATTGTAATTACGATTATGATCTTGTTCATGATTAATTATATTATTTTTTTCCCAATAATATCAACTATAATATCAAATATAACAATTATATAAAAATCGTGAAAAACGTTACTGTAACGTTACTATAATGTTACACTGCAACGTATAAATGCACTGTTGTTGGAATTTTGTTGATGATGTTGTTGATTTGCATGATGTTGAAGATACGTTGCTGCTATATTGAGTACTGTTGGGGAATTTTTCACTCATTGTTGCAATATTGAGTACTGTTGGGAAATTGTTTCACTCATTGTTGCAATATTGAGTACTGTTGGGGAATTTTCACTCATTGCTGCAATAATGAGTGCTTTTGGGGAATTTTCACTGATTGCTGCAATATTGAGTGCTTTTGGGGAATTTTCACTAATTGCTGCAATATTGAGTGCTTTTGGGAAATTTTCACTGATTGCAATTTATTTTACCGTCTCTTTATGACTATTTAGCTTTCGATGTTCCACGCGGCTCTTATTACGCGCTCGTCGAGCGTCAACGAATGCCTCTTGAAATTCGTTTTACGATTTATTTATAGAATTTTCCGGGTGGATTTTTCGAGCCTCTCCTTTTTAGCAAATTGAAGGAGAGGACCGGGGGTATCGGGGACCTCGATCTCGACGTTAAAGGTTTTATCTCGATGTCAGGTTTCGTTCACCAGTCGCAGATGCTTTTTTTCATTTTTTCCTTTCTGTTATTCGGGCAAAGTCAAACGAGCCATCCGTGACACCTGTCGTCGAGTTTGCCTCGCGCGTGTGTGTCCGCGTGTATAAGAACACGTGGGGAACACGGAACGGACGGGAGATAATGAAAATGGAGCCAGATGCGGAGAGGAAATAGGAGCTCGGACTAAGATCGCGAATCTTTGAAACGATGTCATGACCGAGTGAAAATTAATCGCGCGACAACGGATCTCTTTCTCCGCTCTCAAATTTTTCCCAAGATTTCCCAAGTTCCGAGGGAAAGCGCAACGGTGATAGAAAAATTATGAGCGAAACGTTTCAGTAAAAAAAACGCGAATTCCTGGCGTTTCCGAGGACTCGACTGAATCTTGCGGAACGAATTTCCTGTCGCTCCCGTCGGTCACGGAAAATTCGGACGATGGAGGCCTGATAAAATTTTCTTCGAGAGTCGTTCCGACGGATCAGATTCTCGCCGTTCAGTTTATAAAGTTTCTATTTTCTGATTTATCGCGTGTCTCGTCTCATGCTATGAATCAGAACGAAAATGAAATGCGTCGACGCGGTTCGTCTCGTATGATCGAAAGACGAAGCATTTAAGCACCGTTCAATGAATCGCCTAAAAAACGTCTGCCACGTTCAAAGAGAACGTTTCGCACGCGTTTCCAGTTAGGAGATCGTTTCGAAGAATTTGACTCGGTCAAATTGGAAGCCTCGACACGATTTTTTCCCACGATGTCGGAGCAGCTGGGAGCTATTTATTCCGAGGGAAGAAGTCAGCTGATTGAATATCCTCGGGCAAGCGGAGATGAAAAGTCCGTCGCGTCGCAATTAGATCAATGTATAACTACACAAATATATATTTTCCACCTCGGCGGGTGAAAGGAAGGAAAAACGAGTGGCAAACTCGTTTTCGTGCCTTTTCCCTTCCCATTAACCCTAATAAGATTCTTCACCGATTAATCCTCATCGACCGGTTCTCATTCCTTCTGCTTTCCTATTCCTACCGAATTTCTTACCATCTCTGTAAGGCACCCCCTAAACCGCCGATCGTCGCACCTTTGCGTTCGTCCACCATTTTGTTAAAAACAAGTTAAATCGCTAATAGACGTCGTAAACATTTTTCACGGCACGTATAAATAATCGTGAGAGCTCGAGAGCTCGTTTAAAAGCTTGTAAAGTTTTCAGACCCAGTTTCATGAATATAAAAAAAAAAATGGAGGAGGATGGAGAAGCTGGAGAACGCTTTTACGGTTTGAAACATTGAAGATACAATAAAATTATACGTAGCCAGAGAGACGCATCGCGATCACGTTATGGCGAGCAGAAGAGGAGACCTGCTTGTTTGTTTTTAGCAATTTTCTGGGACATTGTCTCGGCCCTAGCGAGGCACCGAGCTAAATTAAATTTGTTCCCGACCTAATTATAAAATAATTTCCGTGAAACGAGACTACTATTTGCTGTGAACACTATTATGCTAGCTCTCCTCCTCGGCGCGTCGCTTTGCGAAAAAATTTGAACGCAAGCAAGTCAATTTCGCTTGGGGTAATTGATATTAAAAGAGGCGAGTGTCCTTTTAATGGGAGCGGCGGGGCATTAAGGAGCTTTCTTGCCTATTTTCGCCTTCTAAGCGGACATATTGCCATCGATTCCCCCCCTTTTGTGTATCGAGGTTCTCATAAACCGGCTGCCTAATCGTTGCCTCGAGTCTTAATCCCGTACAATCCGCTGGAAGAGCAGCGAGCCTCACGGTTTTCACCTCCCATCGAATGCGTCAAACCTTAACTTTACCAAAGAAGCTGAAAACTTCATAGAAGCTCGAAACGATTTTAATTAAATCGTCCCTCCAGACCAGAGAACCTGCTACGATTCTTATCACGGAATTACAGCCGTTTAAGCTTTAATAAGGATCTCTTAATTACGATCTTTCATGAAGCGAGCAAAAAAGTATAAACGAAAGTTTGTTTACCTTGCCTGGGCTAGAACTGGTAGGCCAACCACGTCCCTGGATCTTCAGTTCTCCTTACTCCACTTGAATTTCAGTCCTTGTTTCCATTTTTCTTCTCTTCGTTTTACACAGAACTTCCTCCGACTCGATTCGAACCGGAGCTCGTTCGTATCGACCGATTCACTAAAGATCTCATCCTATGAAAATTAGTCGAAACGGACCGATTGCAAATTTCAGACGTAACGGTAAATACGAGATCGTACAGAATCTACGTGTCGTGACTCCGAAGGATCTCTTGGATCTGGAATAGATCAAAGAAACCCTAGGGAACTGAATTTTCACGGATGAAACGTTCCCATTGTCACTCGACTCGCTTCTGTTCAAACGATGAATTTTCTTATTCAACGAAGAAGAAGCATTCTCTTGGAAACCTTTGCAGGTTCCATTGGGGTTCTTTAGACGATTCCAAAAACGCTCGTCACTCGAATTATTCCTAAGTTCTCGTATCGTTTCCGATAACGGAGAAACGATCGAACGCTAAATGAAAATGTTTTTAGAGTGTCGAATTTTGAAGAAATCTCAAAAAATTCTAAATGTTTCAGGAGGTCCCTTTAAAACGGATTTAAAGAGACTGTTCGGGCCTGTCCATATCGACTTTTGACCGTTCCAAATGAATTTCGGTCGATCAATCGATTTCTAATCCACTTTGACTCCGTTCGATTGATCCAGACTTTACTCGTCCCAATCGATTCCGCACGATGCAGCTAGATTTTACTTGTTAGTCCAGATCGGTTTGGCGGCGATCTGATTCGAGTTCAGGTGACTTCGTCCTGACGAAGTGGAACTTTCTGTCGAGGATTCATACAATTTCCACGTCGTTTTCAACGAGATTCATTTCCAATTCGATTTCAAATCGGTAAAAACCAATTTCTAAGATCTTTAGTCAGTCGCGACGAGTCGGACAGAGTTCGCATTAATTCGAACGCGAAACGCTTAAGGGGAGACGTTCGCAGGCGAATCGTAGCTGATTCCTCTCGGTCAACACGATTCCTGATTACCTGATAACGAAATTCTACGAAAGCGCGGGAGTTTCAGGACTTCCGGTCACGTTCGGCCCTCGTTCGGTCCGCGGAGGCGGGATTCGAAGCGGGAGCGGGTAAAACACGCGACTGAGCGGAGAATTCGAGCAGCAGACACGATTTACCCTGGTTCAACCCTCTTCTCCACCCCCGACAGACGCTTGCGCGGTTCGAACCGCCCCGTCGTGTATAATCCTTCGCAGAAATTCTGTCCATCCGCTTCGACGACAAGCGCGGAACGCGGTGTCCGTTCGTGTCGAACACGCGCATCGCGTCGGTGTAAACTGGCATGCACCGTCGTCGTTACTGCGACAGTGGCCGATGCTCGATGGTGTTTCATTCTATTTTGTTGATCGATCGAAACTTACGAGCAGGCCAAGGATTTTTGTTAAAACGTTGTTCCGGTCCAGATTTGAAAAACGTCAGATCGCAAATTGCATGAGTGCGCTGTACCGACGATGCTTGGGCGACGCTGTTCGAAATCGTTGGTGTCGAGAGAAGACAGGAGTCAACAATTTTTTAACTGGAACGAAGAGACCGACTTGCACTTCCGGTAGCGATTTTTATGACAATAAAGGAGGGTTCCTTTCGGGCGAAGGTCCAACCTTTGCGTATGCGTGGGTAAATATTAGCCGAGGCTGATGAGACCCGGCTGACCATCAATTTTTCACCTCCTTTCATCGTTTCTCCATTCTGTATCCGTTGAACCCCGTCCGTGCGTCATTCTCGGAGCTCAGAGCTGCCCGGTCGCTCTGAAAAAGACCTTCTGCCTCAGATATTAGCCCCCCGTTCAACCTCTGTTTAGGGTCAAAGGTCTCCGTTTCTTTGAACAATCGAGCCGGGCTCCATTTCCTGGTACCTCCAGGCGTCGGACCCAAGTCTCGCGAATCGTCAAAACGAATCCTAAGTCCGGAACGTGCCTCTCGTTGCTCGTTCAGCGATTCTTACGTCCTGGGAAAAATTGCCGATAAATGATTTTATTTAACGAATCTGAAATGAAAAGCGCCGAAAAGGCGAGGCGAGCCAGAGTCCGTTGTATCAAACGACGCGTCAGCTTGTTTCAGGGCTAATTTCAGTCTCTGTTCGATCACGCGCCCATAGTCCTTAGAGTCAAAGGAGAGGCAGCCTCGCCTCGCAGCTGGTAAACACCTAAAACAGCGTCCTGTGTGTATCTTTAAACAAGCTAGAAATGTTGTTGGATTAATCGAAGCGACGCGAACTAGTACAATTAATCCCCGAGCCCGGGGACAAAGCGTACCTCCAACGCGAACCGCCTCCCAACGGTTTTTTTAAATTACTCACGCGTGCAATTTCCAATCCTGTTTCCAGCGAAAGCGTTAGTAAATAAAAAGAGGGAAAATTGTACAGTTTTAAATCTAGGGAATTTGAAAAATATTTTTAGTTTGCTTTAATTACTTAAGTGCGCTCGACGTGTATACACGTCGAATCAAATGTCTATTGCGTTGCGGTTGACGTATATACTCGTCGTGTAAAATAAAAAATTACTATTGACTATAAAAACTCGAAATTTCGTTTTTCGTAATATTTTTAATAATACCATTTGTCCTGCGTTCGACGTCGTATTCACGTCGAATCAAATCTCTATTGCGTTGCGGTTGACGTGTATACTCGTCGTGTAAAATAAAAAATTACTATCGATTATAAAAACTCGAAATCTCGTTTTTCGTAATATTTGTAATAATACCATTTGTCCTGCGTTCGACGTGTATACACGTCGAATCAACTCTCTATTGCATTGCAGTTGACGTGTATACTCGTCGTGTAAAATAAAAAATTACTGTTGACTATAAAAACTCGAAATTACGTTTTTCGTAATATTTGTAATAATACCATTTGTCCTGCGTTCGACGTGTATACTCGTCGTCATTGCTTGATTTTAATTCCGCACTCTGCGGGGGATTTTTAAAACTAAATTCTACAAGTTAACAGGTTGAACCGGTGCTCCTATGATCTTTATTTATGGAACGGTTTGGACGTCGACGATTCTCGATTAGAAATTATTGATCCGCACGCTGTCAAAGTCCTTGTTCTTATCCTTTTATTTGCTTTCTTCGACTAATTCTATAATCAATATTGTACATACAGTGTAGCTGTTGAACAATGTGTCCATGCTCGTGTCAAAAGAAAAATCCCATTGGCGATTATTTGAACCGCGGCCCACGGCGGCGCGGCGTGAAACTTTAATACAGATAACGTGCAAGGGAGAATTTTAAAACCTCTTCCTGAAGTATCAGGAGATCTTTCCTTTTTAAAGAAAGCCTTTCACTATAATGGTAAATCGTCGTATTCAGAAAAAAATGATGACCAATTGAAGAAAAGTCATTTTTTAACGGGGGCAGGAATAACGGATAACTCGATTCAAATGAGTATTTATACATATTTATTCTATTATGTACAAACTTTACACTTCACTGTTATACCGTTTTACAAAAACATTCGTCACTGTGTGCGATTTATTTGAATACAACAATTACTGGGTAGAAGAATACTTAATTACTAGTGGTCGACGGTTAACCCTGGTTGAGACCAGGGCCGTGCAGCTCGATAAAACTCTCCAAGGATCGTGGAACGTTGCCACAGTAGGATAGATTGTAGGTTTTCACCGCTTTCGCTGCCATACATTTTAAAGATAGTTTCGTCTGAGTCCTTAGAATGATCTCTGCTACACCTAGAAACGATTGTAAATGTGATCGATCGTACGTAGGCTCTTCATTTATACAGGGTGTCCCAGAATTATTGTTAAGCCTTCAAATAAGCAAAAGCTTGAGGTGATTTTAACCCTTTCACTACGAAAGGCGTAAATATACGTCCTGAAAAGTCCATCGATATATACGAAAGGCGTAAATATACGTCCTTAGAAGCCTATCGATATATACAAGAGATGTAAATATACGCCATCGCAGCGTCCGACGTGCGTATAACGCGCTGTCCATATTGATGGATTATTCCGAAATCGCGCCGCAGTGAAAGGGTTAAACAACTTTTTCCTTTGCAAAAATGTTGTCCGAGGCGTGGTTGTCGAGTTCATCTCAACTCCTCCCCACTTTCGGGCGTAGTATTAGTTCTGGTATACCCTATATACGAACCTGTGGTCACTGCATCGTATGGAGTCTTTCCACTGCTGTTCACGGTATCCATGTGTGCCCCAGCCTCGATCAATTCCATAATTATTGTGTAGAGAGTCATAAAATCGCTGGCGGAGTCATGAATAAATTAGTATCGTAGAACATGTTTACTATATCATTTGATTAAATATTAAAATTTAATACCTAATCGGTTCCCTGTAGCCGACGATCACGTGTAACGGTGTATTCCTATTACTGTCCATTGCGTTCACGTCCGCACCGCAGTGTATCAAAAGTTTGGCCGTGGCCGCACAAGGAAATCTGTGAAACGTTTCGATATGAAGTGATGATCGCTTGGCGAACGGTCGATCGCTCGACTTACTTGCAAACGTGGTGCGTATGAAAATCGTCTACGAGCGTCGCCGCGTTCACGGCCAGATGCAACAGAGTTTGGCCGTCCTTCAGTCTCAATTGAAGAGCGCAGAGTCTGTGAACCAGATGATGGGCTCTACATTTATCCTCCACCTCGTACCTATTCCCGTTCAGAGTCAGAAGCTTCGTTAAAATTGTCAGGATGTAGAGAGTCGTCATTATATTCGATTCCATTTCATCCTGAAATCATTTCGAGTTCATAACGAAACCCTTCATTCTTGAATTGTACTATATGTCTTGACTGTCTTTGACTCACTACGTGTTGCTCGACGTCCTCTTCCGAGTCCGGACTGTTGACTTTCGACTTATTATTAGACAATTCCGTTACGCAGGATTCTAGCACGCTTAAGACCTGAGCGAAGTCGATTTCAATTCCCACGTGTATCATCTGCGAGAACACCTGCGGAGAACGATTACTTTACTTTTTTTACTTGAAATTAAAAAGTGATTGCTCATACGGACGAAACGGTACCTGGGCAAACCGCAAGATATCTTTTACCACGGGAATATCGTTCATCTGCTTCAGGTGAAGAGCGTGAAGCCATAGATCGATACATTTATCGAATCTCGCGCTGTCGGCGAACACTGCTCCACGAAATATAACATGACGAGGCACTTCCGGGTTCTGTGTGCCTAATATCCTTTCCCTCACAGCCAGTGATTCCATGTGAATGGCGTTTTGATTATTCCTAATATTTTCTAATTCCTCCACAGTCTCGGATTCTTTGCAGTTCTCATAAGCTTTCACAGGCTTTCCTAATTTTTTATAAATAACGTTATCTGGATCACTGAATCTGAGTTCCATCCCCTTAGATAGATATTTATGAGCCTTCATTAACCGGTAGTTCGTCTCGTCGTTAGCGAAACTAGCTCCGAGAAGTTCATAGGCTTCTATAATGTCATTCTTGCTCACTTCGACCCGATTTATTAAGTGTTCGACCACTTCGGCCCTGGTCTTCTCCGCTGCCATTATCAACGGAGTCATTCCACTGACATTTTTGCTCATCTCTGCTCCAAAATCTAATAACTTCGAGACTATATCGGTGTAGCCCCTCTCGGCGGCAAAATGCAAAGCTGTAGCTCCGCAATTTGCCTTCTCGTTAGGATTTGCTCCTTTCTCTAAAAGATAAGAAACCTGGAATAGAGAATTTTCAAATTAGAGCGATGCCTATTTAAATACAATGAGAATTCTCTAGACGATCAAGTACTTACGATCTCTAAATGCCCTTTATAGGCAGCGATCATTAGACAAGTATTATTAAACTGATTAGAGATGTTCATGTCTGCTCCGTGTTCCATCAGATATTCAACGATGTCCAGCCTCCCATCGAAGCAAGCAGCTCTCAGTGGAGTGGATGAACTTTTAGTTGAATGATTCACGTTAGCCCCAGCCTTTACCAATCTTTTGACGACGTTCAAATGTCCAGCACCTGTGGCGCACCACAGGGCAGTTGCTTTCTCAATGACATATCCATCGAACTTCACTGTACCCTCTTGTTCTAAATCCGGCTTGAACTTGTCTAATAAGATTTGAACAACTTTGTTTTTACCATATCTGGCAGCTATTATCAAGGGCGTACAATGTTGGCCATCTTCTTCCAGCACTTTTTGGTTTATTATCATGTTCACCATTTCAGGATCCTTGTTGTTTAACAAATTATATAAAGTTATGGCCATCCCATCTCTTGCTGCGTAATACACTCTTGTTAAAAACAATTTAGAGATCTGTTTGGGATCCTCATAGTCCATCTTGAGCTCCATTTTATTTCAAATTGGCCCGTTCGACCTGATCTCTTATTCCTTCTAAACTGAATTCCTATTCTTGCTCCCCTTTGTTACCTTTGTTCCTCAGGCTTTGATTGAATTTGACTAGATCATCCTAACCTGAAAGAAGGTATACGGTCCACGGACGATTTAAGGTGGCCCTAAGACTATAAACAATCGTAATGATCAATTTCTTGTACAAGTCAAATGACGTTTTGAAAAAGATAATGAGAAAATATAAAAGAAATTCGTATTCAAATGAAAAATGATATTGAGAACGCACCTAACCTTACCTCTCTGGGTTCTTTGTTCTCGTTGTTATAAAATTCTATTTTTGTAACGCAGTAACAACTGCTTTAAAATTATTTTGCGCACCACGTGCCACTGAATAACTTTTTTTAATAAACAAATGTATTGATAGCTCAAAGCTTAAGCATATAATAGCGCCATCTAGTACATATACAATACTATACTATAGTATGTATTGCATGCACTATATTCGTATGCACATGTATTGTTTACGTATTGAAAGAATGATCTGTGATGCTGTCGAGCTCGAGAACTGATACGAATTCGCTTGTAATTTATTTCTATTAAATCGGGAAAATATGGACACCAAAGTAGCAGAGGAAAAGGCTGAAAGGTATGACGAAATATTCTTGTACAAACGAATACTAATAGATATAATTCGTAACTAATTATGTACCACTGTGTTTCGGATGCAGTCCTATTGAAAAAACAGATGAAACATCAGAAAGTACGGAGGAGAAATTGAAACCGAAGCCGGATGATAAGAGCAAGCAAAAACAGAAGTCGGAAGAGGGTTCCGATAAAATGAATGGCAGAGGGACCAATGAATCGAGCAACTGTTACTGGTAAATTGAATCTTTCAACTCTGAGGAAATCCTTATTATTTAACAACTGATTTACCTGAGCAATGTCTTTAATATTTCCACAGTGGGAAGGAGAGAAACTTGAACATAATAGAATTACTGTGTGCCAGTTGTTCGAGGTGGTTCCACGAGTCCTGTATTGGCTACCAGTTAGGCAAATTAGTCCCATTTATGATGAATTATATTTTCATGTGTAAGAATTGTTCTCCAACTGGTCTAGAAAGTTTTAAGAAGAATCAGGCCCGTAAGAGACTCTAAACTACAACAGCATTTATCATTAAGCAATTTTCAGATTGACTCAACCCTGTAATCTCTTTTAGCCTTTCCACAAATGTGTGTAACTGCTCTAGCGAATCTGTTACAAATGTCACAAAAAGAAACCGAACAAAGACTGTTTTTTCATAAGGACAAAGACATAATACCGTTCATTGAATGCCACTGGGACAGCATGACGACTATGCCTCGCAGAGTTACTCAATCCTGGCACGCTACGGTAATTTTACTCCCATAATTATGATAGCTTTCTATGACAGAATTATAAGTTCACGAATCCATTACAGATACATAGAGCTTTGCTAAAAGATGTTGGCACATTGTTCACCGTAGAAGAGACCAGTCCCGATGGTCAGCAATTTGGATTGGTCTGTTCCGATCTACAATTGATTAAGCCTAATTACGAGGCCATGATCAAGGGGGGTCATTTAAAGGTGACAGAGATGGGAGTCCAGCATGTCGGTACGTTTGTTCAATGTGTACTATTAATGAACGATTAACGTTATCGCGGTACATCTTTTAGTGCCTCTGAGCGGCGGCTTCCGCGGTAGAAACGCGAAAAGGAAATTTCCTGGCGAAGGGGCAGGGACTGGACCTGGGAAAAAGGGCAGAGGATCAGACATGGCTGCCCCGAAACTGCCGGCTCACGGCTACCCGTTGGAGCATCCTTTCAATAAAGATGGATACCGCTACATCTTGGCGGAACCAGACCCTCACGCGCCGTTCAGACAAGTGCGTCTCACGATCATCAGTGAAACGGTCAGACCGTACGTTCGAATCTAAACGAAAATTTCCAGGAGTTCGACGAGAGCAGCGACTGGGCGGGGAAACCGATACCTGGCTGGCTTTACAGAGCTTTGAATCCTAGTGCCGTTTTATTAGCTCTGCACGACAGAGCCCCACAACTCAGGGTCTCAGAAGATAGGCTGGCCGTAACTGGGGAAAAGGGGTATTGCATGGTCAGAGCGACTCACAGTACGTTAATGCTGATGATCAGTTTCGTTATTACTGACCGTAATCGGTAGACTTAGCTGTCGTCGATTTTCTAGACGTGAGCAAAGGGATTTGGTACTGGGAGGCTACGATAGAAGAAATGCCCGAGGGCTCGGCGACTAGACTGGGATGGGGGCAGGAATACGCTAATCTTCAGGCTCCGTTGGGTTACGATAAGTTCGGATACAGTTGGAGGTCCAGGTACCAAAAGTTCTTACATGCATCGAGAGAGTGCAAAGCGGGGGGATGATGAGGACAGTTATTTTTCTTCCGTAGGAAAGGAACGAGATTCCACGAAAGTAGAGGCAAACATTATAGCAGTGGCTACGGCGAGGGTGACACTCTAGGATTTTTAATCGTTCTACCCGATATCCATCATTCCACTTACTTACCCAACACCTATAAAGACAGGGTGAATATTTATCTAAACAAAATATATCTGGAACGAGAAATTCCTTCTGTCGTATTCTCATAAAATATCGTTTAAAAATCAGCCTCTAGTCAAATTCAAGAGTCACTTGTATTACGAGGAAAAGGACCAAGTTCCAGAGGCCTTGAAAGCCTTGAAACCGCTACCAGGGAGCAAAATAATTTTCTACAAAAACGGTGTGAATCAGGGGGAGGCTTTCCTCGATGTAAATAAGGGAGCTTATTTTCCTACCATCTCCATTCACAAAAGCGCGACCGTTTCCGTGAACTTTGGACCAAATTTCAAGTCCCCACCGACGGACATGACGTTCAGAGGGGTCAGTTTCGTGCTAGTTACCTAAGAGAATCTGTCGGGGGTTGAAAAAAAGAAATGAATTTGAATTCTTTTACAGATGAACGACAGAGCCGAGGAAACAATAGGAGAACAGTGTATGGCAGATATGTTGTACTTTACTGAGAACGAGGGGAAACTGCGATTAGATACGTTCACTTTGTGACACTAAATTTTCCCTTAGAACGATTGACGGGGAAGACAAATTGAGAAAGGTAAAATCCAACGAGAGAACAATTTCTTCTTAAATGGTCAGAGTAGATAAAAAAGAAATAAAAGATATTGTGATATATTGAAATACGTTTTATTCATCTCGTACGTTATGGTCATCGTTGTATTCCGATAGTTATATATATTCACAAAAAAATATATAATACAATATTCACAAGAGAAACGAAAGTATTACAATTAACAATTAATTATTAATAACTGACTAGGTAATGGACAAACTTCTATTATTGTTATTTTACAATTATCCTTATAAAAATTACTATCATATAATACAGGGAGGCACTTGTCGGTGTTTAATGCTTAAAAAATACTAAAACATATTATGCTAATCGACTAATTATCAAATTATGCGAGTCTCCTAATTATTTATATACATATGCACAGGACGACGATAATTACTTTCATTCGTTTAAGAATGACGATAATCGTCAGTAGACGTAAATAGTTTTTAGTTGGTCTTTCAGTTCCGGAGGTATTGCGCAGCAGTCCGTTTCCGGTTTTCTTCTAACGAGACGTCGCCATCTCCCGATGTTTTTACGTATCCCTTTGGCGAAACTGGGGTTCCTTTCTACCCCCGGCAAAGAGTGAACCAGACTCTCCTGGAAACACGTCATGATCTAGTCCCACTCCTGACTCGATTCACGGATCTTTTGAACTTTCACAGCTTTCTTGCATTGCCGTCGGCAGATTTCAAAATGCAACATTTACTTTTTACGCTACCGTGCTCATTATTCATATGATTAACTGACATTGAGGACGTACAAAAAAGAAAGTAGATTATCTTAAACGGGATAATGTGAAAGCAGTATTAGCTCGTGTAAGATCCTTCGAAATTTCTTTAAATCATGATTCTCGCGTCAGACTCGTTCGAAGTCTAGACTAACTGCGATATGAAAATCGTTTATGGAAGCAATGTTACCTCAGGTAACGAACTTACCTGATCATTGTAGAACCCATACTGTTGGACCGGGGGGTACGGTGGAGGGAACTGCCAGACAAATTGTTCTTTTGTCCCATAGACGTGCCTCTTCTCTCCCTCCTCTTCCTCTATCAAACAGGGCCCTACTATCCCTGTCTCGGTGGTCGCCAGAGTAGTGGATGTAGTACAATTATTGTTATCTACCATCATGGTCGTTTGGACTATAGTGGTAGTGGTTCTCCTCATTCCACCTCCTTCTAATCCTATCCCTTCCACCGTCGCGGGGTGAATCGTGGCAGGGGAAGCCGATTGATGGTGATGGTCTTCCCGTTTTCTCAGTTTGCTGCGAACCAGTCGAACAGCTATCATGGTTCCATTGCTTCCCACCATCTTTCTCTTTTGTTTTTTCTTTTTTCTGAGGACAGGTTACTTTAGGTCGGTACTGGGTATCAGGACGGATTCGGGCCAAGTATTTGTTAATTCGTATTAAATCTTAAGTGTTGGCTTCGGATATTGGCCGGATCAGATTAGGTCTGGACTAAGTATTAGCTGGATGAAATCAGGCTTTCGAGAGTCATCGGTCTCGGAAGTTCCCGATTGTTTTTGGAAGTCGGATGAACACTTGAAACACTGTTCGACCGTTCTCGGTGCAGGACATTAAAATCCGAACGTATCGGAGTTCGAAGCCATTTATGTATTAACCTTTGAAGGTAGTGTCAGGCTCAGAGGCTCTCAACTTCGCTTGGCCGCCGTAGCCAGAATCGAACCCAGGAAGCAAAACCGAAAAGCGGACGATTACTGACGGAGACTATTCCGTGTACCATGCCATCGTGTCGATCGTTCCAGTCTGCACCGAGGCCATTTAAATTAACTTAAATCGCTCCGGAGGTTGCTCGAAAATTACAAGTTCCTCAGTCCCACTGGTCGAACTCGTTTCGATCGACCTTCCTCACTCCTGATCGATTCAGCTACGTTTTTTTTTTCCTGACACAACAACTCGGTCACCGAACACCAGAAACTTTGCGGATTTCTTAACCGAAACTCGGATTAATTGAACTTGCGTCCAAGAATAGACCTCGACTCCGAATAAATTGAAGGAGAGAGAGAAGGGAAGCGACTGGCTTCCTTTCGGATCGAACGGGAGCGAACGAGACATAAATAGCAACAGCTGCTTAAGAAGGGAGAGGAGGAAATGCGAACGCATGCGCTTCCAACCCGAGCTTGGGATAACTATAATACCGTAGAAAATAGTAGAAATATCGTTTTAGTTCAAAAGGGACAGGGCTGTAACGACACGGTGGGTCTGGGTGTCATAATCCTCGGTCGTTGTTTAGTTTTTACCTGATAGTCACCGCGAGGAGAACTATCACGATGCCGACTAGGACCAGTGCGATCGATACCCCGCATATCATGTAAACGCTCTCCATGGGGGCTTCTGCAAAAAATGAAATCCTATAAACAATTCTGTATATGTATTCGGGCCGCTACCGCGCCCCTTGACAACAGTCTTAAAAACTATCTGATAAAATAAATGTAGATGAACTATACATATACTGTTAATTATGTCGCCGCTAACTCGAGGATAATCGCTCGTTTAAATGTCATGGGTTTTCTATAATTAAAAGCTATTTAAAACTATCTGCATCGTTCACACGACCGTTTACTATGCCCCTGATTTTTCCACATTTTCCAGACATTCCAACGATCGAAACAAAGGATTTCGAATCGTAGTGCAATATCAATGGACTTATCTTTTCTTCGAAACGCGAAACAAAAGAATAAGAACGGAATTAAATTTTCCACGAACATGATACGTGATCGACTTTGTGCGCAATTTAGATGATTTAGTACATCGATCAATAATACTGTGTATAATCCGGCTTAAACGATTTTTATTATTATTTTGTTCAATGCCCTTATCTCTTTTAAAAGTCTTTAGCTAAGTCCTTAAGCATTTCTATCGGCAAATGCCCTTGGAACTTCTAGATTCTTCTTCGTTTTATGTTCAATTCTCGTGTCGGAGTCTCTTGGGTACATTTTTTATAACAATAAAAAACGGTAGTTCCTGTTTAATTTCTATTATGTGAGATGCGACAGATAGAGAGATAAATGAATCTTAAGAATTAGTAGCCGTATTGACTCACCGAGTTGCGACAACAATTGTAAGGGCTCTGAAACAAATAAAACAAAAAACGTGCTTAGTTTTAATAAAAACGATTCGACCATCCATCTCTCTATCTCTATCGAATTTGTTCCCGAACTCCAAATAGAATTAACCAGGAGAAAATCGAATTATCGAGGAATCCAATATGCGTCTGATCAGGTAAATGAAATTACAAGAAGAAGTCTATGTAAAATTAAGTCCCGTCGAATCGCGCGGGCACTCATCGTTGCTTGGTAGCAGATGGGTCGGTGCAGCTTTCTAAACTAGCGCCAGTACGCGGTTACTACTTCAGAGCGTGACCGTGTTCCTGGTCGATAAAACGGTTTAGGCAGAGGAGACATTATTATCTCCTCGTTGGTAAAGCGTCTATCTAACAATGAGTCGCTTCGAGTAAGTATTTCGGTTGATTCACGTTCGTATGATTCGTTCCACGCGCAGCAGATGTCGGGCTTGCTCGGGGTCGCGAACTGACAAACAACTTAATTACAGGAATGCATGAATTTAATTACTCGTACACGTAGCAAATTGGAGTCGTAGGAAAGTTCTCACGAATTTACATACACTGCAATATGTTAGACAATCGTTCGAGTTTCGTTCTTCGCTCAACTTGTTACGAATCGCAGTTTTATTGCACGTATCCGTGCAGAAAAATGGGCGCACACTTCGGAACTGTTTGAAGGTGCGAAGGACAGAACGAATCGGTATCCGCCGAGATCGGAATCTCGTGCACGATCAATAGATAGCTAAATGGAACTTCCCCGATGGCCATTCGAGAACTGGAGAGCTGGGTTAAGATTTCTTTCATTAAAAATAATCCTTTACGCGCGTGCACTGCGCGATACTTCCTGTACATCCGATTTTCCTACAAATCAACAGTATAATGATCGATGTCAGTGATACGCATTAATTTCGCTCGCGGAATTGAAGAAAAACAAAATTTTCATAAATATTCAACAGCACGCATCTGATTAATGTTATTATGTATCAATGAATCATTAATCGTATATTCTCTTACCAATGATTTAGAATAAATCTTTCGAACTGAAGATTCTTGGAAACGTTCCAAACAAGATTTCTCGTGGAAAAATTGTTTTCATCAATATTTCATCGGTTGCATTACAAATCGATCGTATAGACGGGACGCGGCAGAAATAATAAATCAGGCTGGCAATCTGATCCGTCCACATCGTTATCGTAAACCTTTTACGGTTTACGCTATCGGCTTAATAGAGATAATCAAAAATATTTGTCACGGTGGTATTGTTGATACCGATCATCTTATTATCATTGATCAGCCTCGTTTTCTCAAGCTGAGAAAACTCTTCAAATCAAAGTACAGCCTGACCGATAAACCTCATAATAACAATGGTAATCATACATAATGATCTCGATAATAAGATTAGCGTCCTATTGACTATGAACATTATATGCGGTGAATGGATTTAAAAAGTATGTGAGATTAAAACGATTATACGTAATGGAAAAATAAATTCTGTTTCATTTTGTACGTTTTCATTTTATCTCACTCACCGGTGTCATTCTCGTGGCCCTGGAGTCCATCGCCAACGTCTTCAGTGGCCGTCGAGACAACTGAAGAAACAAAGAATTATATCAATACCCGGCTTAGCTTAGTTTTGCAATTAGCTTCGTTTTGTCAGGATCGTTTACTTCCAAAAATAGTCGAACACGCTAATTCGATTTAGTCTGAAACTACGTTCCTGTGCAATTCTTATGAGACGCTGATTGTAGGAATTCTAAAACCAGCTTACGAGATTGCCGGTGATTTTTCGGTTCGGAAGCACGAGAATCTGAGACTGAAACTGCATCGGGTTTAAGAGTCTCGCATCCACTTTTAAGTAGCACGCGTATTCGGTAGATTTTCATTTCTGTCAGTCTAAATACTGTCAAGTGGACGCGTATCTCTGCGATGCTCTCAGATTCAGTTTGGATCAGAGGTCTCGTGTGCAGGATGAGATATCCTCGAAATCTAAGAGCACGGTTTTTCAATCGAACTCAGATTTGGTCGGATCTGCGAAGCTCCGAGGTTTAACGCTGATCTCGGATCAAAAGGAGATCCTGTTATCAGTCCGACTGTCATTGGATTTAACGCGTGCAACCGCGTGATAGACAATTACCTACCGACTTCGGCATGCTGAATGGAGAATTCCAGCATAATAGGCTCTCGGATCGGATCTCGAATATCTCGAGTCTCGTGACCGAATCCCGTGACTGTACACAATTTTGCTATACACCACTGTACACACAGACTGTACACGGACCAACGGTACAGTTAATCGAATTCGAAGGCTCGCAAAGGCGTTCGGCCCTCACGGAACGACGCATATGGACACTATTGTACCACTGATCACCGAGAACAACGCAAACAACGACTAGACGAGAATGATTAAAAAAGCAAAACACCGACTGTACCCGCGGTAAACTATATTATGCCTATTTCTCTTGGGGACGAGGCTCACAATCAGCGCCGCACGGCTCGAAACTCGCAATCAACTCAACTAAACTTGTTGACTGTCTTTCTGTCTGTCTGTCTGTCTTGCTCGTTCACTCACTGTCTATCTGTCAACTCCTTAAGACGCACAGTGAGAGGAAGGGAGACCGAGACCGAACGATGGAGGGAGAGGACGGCCAGTCCGCGGAGGGAGCGAGACGGCAGATATGTAGTTTTAACTTAACGATGATCGTTAGCCTTCGAATGATTTCCGGGTTAATGCGACTACTTAAAAAGAAAAACTCGAGACCTCGCCTCATGGTCACCAATTCCATCGTACGCTCGCTAGATACGAGTACAAAATACATATACACTTTTTACGTACGTTACACGCGTCGGTTCAACGTTAACGACAGATAAATAGATAGATAGACAGAGAAATGAACAGAGAGAAACAGGGAGAGAGAGAGAGAGAGAGAGAGAGAGAGTACTATATAGAATTTAAAGCACCGCACGTTGATATTATAAATACTATGTAAGTGTATATAATAAAATATAAAACTGCCTGTCACGCATGTTAATTATTTGACAGTTTTCTATCGGCAACGTAATGGGAATGTAAGGGGAATATAATATTTCTTGTCTCGTACCTATCGCCTCATCCTCCTTCGCTGTTAGATATGAATCATTTTCAGTCCATAAGAGACATAGAGAAGAGCCCACATGGGTAATTGCAGCTGTCAGATTGTCAGACAACAGGACGTGACGTAATTTAAAACGTCACGTCAATATAATTCGTACCTGTCCATAGCGCTCATCTTCACGGTCTAAAGCAGACTAGTACATTTTAATTTGAAGCCGGTTTCGTTGAAAAATTGTTATCGATGGGCGAGATATCGTCGGCCAATTCTTTTTACGTACCCGAAATGTTTGCGACGGCTCGCTCCGGGAACGTTGAAACGAGGACGATAACAGAAAGGGATCGCGCTCTCGACATATTCGATATTCCTTATTACAATAAGCTGCAACGTTTTCTCCAATTCTTGGGGCAAGATCCTCGTCAGAATGAGTCCGTCAGATTTGCCATAGTCGTCGTCATGGTCGTCAGTGCCGCGGGGATTTTCATTCCTACGGTGAGAAAGACTTCAGAACAAATTCAGACACGCTGAGAATAAAATCGTACATTTTCCTGGTTTCAGTCGCTGGAACTGTACGTGTCGATGAAAAAGAAAGACATGGACGCTGTGATCGAGTGTCTGCCGCATTTAATAGCAACCGTGACCAGCGTGGTCAAAATACTGAATCTCTATTTTTACAGAGAGAACGTATGTATGTTCTAATCGATCGATTACTTAAGGAATCTTATCTGTCTATTGAATCTGCGCTGAAAGTTTAAAAGGATGTTTGGCATGACCGTGGCGGTGTGGCACCGCCTGAACTCCGGGGAACTGACAGTTTTGGAAGAGATCACGGCGCGTGGTAGTCGAGTGGCTCAATTATACAGAAGTGAGCCCTGATTTTGCGAAATTAGTATGCCTCCCTTAGCACGCGTCGACTCTGGTCTCTCTGCTCATCTGTTCCTCAGATACGCTATTGATATTTACGGTCTTGTTCGTATCGGTGCCAATGCTCTTTCCAATTATGGACGTGATCGCGCCTTTAAACGAGACCAGACCGAGGCAACAGATGCTAAGGGTCAACTACGTAGCCTTTGATGCCGACGAATACTTCTTCTACGTTTATATTCAACTGTCTTGGTCAGCTGTGGTGGTAGTTTCTATCATAGTGACAGTGGATTCCCTTTATATCGTCATAATCCATCATAACAGCGGCCTGTTTGCCGTTTGCGGGTACTGACGTTTGGAAGTATCTGGCTCACCCTCTCGCTCATTCTGCCATTTTTGTTTCCTTGCCAGGTACAAATTACAAAATGTGACCAAGAATCGAGACGCTCAACTAGAGAACGAATCGAGGATGTACGGGAAGTTCCGCGAATGCGTTCTCGCCCACAAAGAAGCTATCGAGTTCGTATCCGTCATAGTCTGATCCGCGATGCTCGGACCGACCATTTAAGATCTGATCGATTCTTATAAGTTGTATCAGACCGTTTATTAACACTATTTCTACCGCGATTTCGTGTATATCTATTGTATAAGGTAAAGGAGGTAGTACGAGGCGTAGCAATGTCGAAAAGGCACGATGCTAATCCTTCGAAAGACGTCTATTTTTTGTCAAATGAAAAATCGTTAATCGATCTGTTTTTTAACGACGTTGCCAATTGCAAGTTGCAAATTCGTCACCTTCAGTAATTGATCAGAAACTACGGGGTCGACCATAAAAAAAAGGTCTAGCAGCTATCCATAACTGCTCAGCGGGTGATAGTCCCGTACTTTCGCACTAATCTGGGGAAGGAGTCGGCAGGCCCTTCTGAAGCCCCCGTGCTTTTATATGGGTTTCCCTATACTTTCAATTTTCTCCTACGGTACTGTAGGTATGCCGGGGCATCTCTCGAGCCTAAAATTTAGCCCCCTTCACGTAAAATTTTTCCTATAGTTACAGTAATGTAAACAGGCCATAAAAAATGCCTGGCTTAACCCAGCACTTTGTCTAACTCCAGTCTTTAATCCAAGTGTTTTTTCCCCCAGGAAAACCAATCGTCGTGTCTTCGGGCCCGAACAAAGACGTTCGAGTCCCAAAGACCTGGGCATTTGGTATCCATCTCGTACCTTCTTAACTGCTCCCTTTCTGTAAGATTAAACGGGAATCTACTATAAAATGAAGAAGGTGGCGGACGGTTTAAATAAAACTCGTGGGCGTTAAAACATTTGATAATCGTCAACTCTCGCATTTATTCTCGATATCTCAACACTAGGACGGCTGTACCAAGAGTGCCTTTTTGATCAAACCTTCTGGTTGTCCTAGGACCTCCCCCATCGCCAGTATGACCTTCGTTCTATGTTTTATGGATCTTTGTCAAGTTGCGTACCCTTAAAAGGCTTGCGTCGTTGGACGCAGTCACCCCCCATTCTACTACGCGTTTTCGAATTTTCTTACATTTCTGACCCTTAACGTTCCTCGCTCTTACACTATCTCGAACAAAGGGTGTCTTTTGTCATCTCTGCGTTTAAACGCAAATAATTGCCAAAACTGTCGACATTTCAAATTGTCAGTTAAATATAGATAATTTGAGCAATATATTTACTGATACATTGATGCGTAGTAGAGATTACTTAATTGAGTTGTAAATTCCAGCTAAACGGTCGTGTGCCTCATGCTCAATAGGTCCTACTCCCTATGGCTCTTATCGCTGTTTTGTTTGTACTATCTGAGTGTATGTGTGTGACTGTGAGATTTGTTCTCAAAAGTATGACCTAATTGGATTAGCCTTGATGGTGTTTATTTATAAAACCGTTTAAGATTAGGGACTGTTATGAAATCCTTAAGGAGTCAAAAGACATCTCATGGTAGAAATAGGAATACCATATGCACATTTTTAGAATCAGGATGAGCTGGGGGAAAATGATATCATTAGTTTAACAATTGTATGAAAAATCAAACAATTGTTTGTAGAGAAATAATTAAACTTAGAAAATAGTTTGAAGTTAATATTTGAAAAGTTCTTTCGACAACGTCTCGGTAGAAATAGTGTTAATATTATCCCTGCGTCGTCGGTGCGGGTCAGCTCCAGTGCCCCCGGTATCGGAGTACGATTTAAGTAATTTGATTTCGTTCAGGTTTTACGACGCACTGAATCAAAGCAGTCGCAACAGTTATTTACTCCAGGTCGGACTGAACATGATGGGCATCAGTGTCACTGCTGTCCAGGTAAAAAGATAGACGTCCCTCGGTTGAGTCTCAAGCAGATACTTTCGAGAATCGTTTCAGACAGTCGTAAACCTGGACAAACCCGAGGAGGCGATTAGGACCGGAATTTTCCTCGGGGCAGAACAGTTCCATCTCTTCGTCATAAGCCTGCCAGGGCAAGTCCTCATCGATCATTGTTCCCAACTCGCGGAAGACATGTACGTCGTTTGCTTTTACAAATCACACTCGATCTCGATTCATCGTTGAACTTCGCGGTAGATATGGTTCCACTTGGTACAAAGTGCCCGTCAGGATCCAGAGGATGCTGTACACGATGCAGATCCGCAGCAGCAGGCGCTCAGCTCTGACCGCTGGCGGTCTGTACGAGATGAACATAGAGAATTTTGGAATTGTACGTAAGTCGTTTGTTCTTTCGAGATAGAACGTAGCTCATCTTAATCGACGTCTTCGTTCCTCTCTGTTTCAAGACATTCAAGACGTGCATGTCCTACTTCACCATGCTGATGTCCCTTAAAGAATAAGTAAATCGATGGAACGCGTGCACGTGCACATCGCATGTTTCCAATAAAAATGGTACAATGCGAAAACAGGATTACTTTCGACGTGTGTCGTTTGTATCGCAAGTGTGCGGTATATTTATATTATACATAATGTAAAATCGTTATCGTCGAGTATCTAGAAAATCGTTATCGTTACACAGAGGCAACAGTGCACACGTTTAATTGTACATGTAATATATAAAGTTACCTCAGTTATCGTTTAAGAGTATTTAATGAGGCCCAGGTCGAAGTACGGGAAATAAGAAAACAACGAAGTTCGTTAGGCCACGTTTGCCTCTCGTTTACTCGCTTCTGCGTTTCTATATGATGACACACGACTGGGACTGTTTGTGTTTGCAACTGTTGTCGCTTGACTTCTGCTATCGAACGTCAAATAGTCAAAAGTAATTTCTGTCTATAGGAGAATACAGTATCTATATGTGGACAATCATGGCTGTCAGATTGTCAACCGATCGGACATGACGTGATGTATTATAGAATCACGGCGGTGTATCGATATAATGCACACTTGTGCAGATTCACTTTTATCGTCTAAAGTAGACCAATAACAGTTCAAATTGTGACCCTTATCTCATTCGGAAGTAGCCGTCGGTTTCCGTAAACGCAAAATGCACCCTCTTGAAGACGGTGAGAGTAGAACAGTGAACGGGGCTTCTTCTCTCGATATATTTGATATCCCTCATTACGCCGAGCTAAAGAGATTCCTAAGATTCGCGGGGCAGGATCCTCGTCAGCATGCGGCCACCAGAATAGCGATTATGGTCGCGATAGTTATCAGCACCTCGGGAGTCATCATCCCTTCGGTAAAGCCACATTTTCCTTCCCGTTTAAATGGTCCCATACTTCTTCATCGAAACTGTAGGGTCGTGAAATGAGAGAGGATGAATAAAAAAACAGCTGTAATTTTGCTCGCGATTTTCCATATCCCGTCTGACTGTCGAGGAAATAAAACTGTGTTCCTTCTCGATACGTTTAGTCGCTAGAAGTGTACCTGTCGCTACGAAGGAATGATATGGATGCCGTGATCGAGTGCCTACCTCATTTAATAGCCAGCGTGATCAGCCTGGTGAAGATCGTGAATCTCTACCTCTACAGAGAGAATGTACGTCCTAATTGATTGATCGATCGTTTAAGGATGTATTGGCTATACAGTCAATTCTAAAAGTTTATGTACCTTAGAAAAACGCATTTCCTATAATTAAAGAGAAATCAGTCGTCGGAAGAACAATGTTAATAATAAATAGCTACGTGCTAAAAAGTATAGAAGGAAATATCCAATTAAGTATTGATGCTGACGAAGATTTTTTTTTCAAAATTTCGAAAAATGCTTGAAATAAAAGTTGTTGTCCCTCTAACTTCGATATTTAACGAGTTACGTATGATTATTTGGCATTTTATTGATGTTGATAAAATCCGACCATCCCAGCGTCGAAACGGCGAACTTTTGGAAAAAAATTTCGTTTTTCCTCAATAACTTCTAAACCCTTGGTCCTACGAGAAAATTGCATACGATCTTTCTTATAGAGGACGACGAGATCTACAATTCATATATAAAAGTTTTTCGCTAGCGTCAATAGTTTACGAGTAATTTGCAAAAAACTGTTTTTTCGTTTTTCGTCAATAACTCGTTAAATATTGAAGATAGCGAGAAAGTTTTATATGGAAATTGGAGATCTCGTCGTTCTCTACGAGAAAGGTCATATGCAATTTTTCCGTATGTCCAACGATTTGGGAGTTATTGGCTAAAAACGAAAATTTGGAAGAAATTGAAGGGGTACCCCTTGGAAAATTCTCGGAAAAATGAAAATTTTTTTTTGTTTATTATTAGTATTGTTCTTCCGACGTCTGATTTCTTTTTAAGAAATGCGTTTCTAAAGTGCATAAACTTTTGGGATTGACTATATAGCCAATACATCCTTAACAGATACATCTTATTTATTCAAACCGCATTGCAAATGTTGTTCAAGTTAAAAAATATGTTCGATATGATTACGGCCGAGTGGCATCGGCTAGGGTCGAAGGAATTCGTAGTTTTGGAAACGGTTACGGCTGAGGGGAGTCTGGTGGCGCGCCTTTACCGAAGTGAGTGTCGTACGTAGCAAAAGAAACGAGATCCATTGGTCGACTAGAAAGAATAGAAAAGAAAAACGCGTAGACCAAAAATCTGTTTCATCGTCGCTGTCACTGACGGCAAAGAAAACAATTGCCGATCGTCCAGAACTCACCAACTTGAAAACTCGAATCTGCTCTTCTCAGATTCTCTTTTATTCGTCTTGGTCCTCTTCGTCACAGTACCATTGCTTCCTCCGCTCTTGGACGTGATCATACCTCTGAACGAGACCAGACCGAGGCCACAAACGATGAGAGTCAACTACGTGCTCTTCGACGCCGACGACTACTTCTTCTACGTCTACCTTCAATTGTCCTGGTCGGCAACCGTGGTCGTTACCGTCATAGTGACGGTCGACTCTCTTTACACACTCATCATCTATCACAACAGTGCCCTGTTCGCTGTTTGCGGGTACCGGGACTTAATATTTCTTTACACAAATTCGCTAATATAAAGCTGAATCCTGTTCTATCCGGACATGTTCCATCAGGTTCAAGGTGCAAGAGGCGACTAAAAATGAAGTATCGGTGACGGATGACGATTCTGAGGTGTTCGAGAGATTTAGAGAATGCGTAACCGTCCATAAGAGAGCTTTACTGTGAGTCGGAGACTCGTTCTGCCTAATTATAATAATTAAATAAAGAAGGAGAACATTTCGATTTTGACTCTCTGACCAGGTTCTACGACATCTTGTACAAAAGCAGCAGCAACAGCTATCTGTTCCAAGTCGGGCTGAACATGATGGGCATCACCGCGACTGCTGTTCAAGTAAATCTAAAAGAATTCTTCCGAGCTTTCAAATTATTGGAAGCCATTATGTTTAAAATCGATGTCCTATACTTCATCTATACTTTAGACAATGGCGAACCTCGATAAACCCGAGGAGGCTCTCAGAACCGGGTTCTTTCTCGGAGGGGAACAGTTCCACCTGTTCGTCATCAGTTGGCCGGGACAGATTCTCATCGACTACTCTTCCCAACTTGAGGATGACATGTACGTGTCATCGTCTCACTCGCATATAACATACCAATTACGCGTAGTACAGTATTTGATTGATAAATCGATGTATGAGTCAGGCCTGTACGCGTCAACGTTCGAAGCCCCGTGTCCACTTATATCGCATCCGCGTGTCGTGTCGTCTTTGCGTATCAATGATAAAAATTACCTTCCAAGGCAAAATGCAGCGCCTGCCGATTCACGGGGCTTCGTATCTCGACGATTAATAAATGCCCGATGATCAAATTTTAGATTTAGGTTTGCTTTCCTTTCCTGAGTCAATCGAAAACTCGATTTTATGGTAGACACGGGTCTGCTTGGTATAATCTACCTATTAGGATTCAAAAGGTAATCTACATGATGCAAATTCGCAGCAGCAAGCGCTCAACTTTAACCGCCGGCGGATTGTACGAGATGAACATAGAAAACTTTGGGACGGTGAGTATAGATCTAGCGAGATCTTCACTTAAAACGATCTATTGCTGTCAATTTCATAAACACCCCGAATGGACAACAGTCCGATTGAAGATTTGTATATACATGTATTTACTTACGTTCCGCTTACGAGAAGATTCTATCGGCACAGGAACAGAAGAGATTCTTTGTAACTCGTGCATCGCACTCACTTCGACAATCACTTGGCACTAAATTAGAATTACGATAAAGATCCATGGTACAAACCGGAGAGACGTTCACGCTTCACACGATCTACGCGTCGATGCATCGACCCACGTTTAACCGTCATTTTCGATGTATCGATTCCGATTTTGTAAAAAAAAATCGCGTTGCGTTTCCTCGACAAATCTTTGAGATTTCATTTTAAAATAAAATTTGCTTTTCACGTCCGGGGGTTTAAATGCGGATTAAAATCTAAAATACACGTTTATCTTATCATCCGCGATTTTAAGGTTGTACTACCATTTCAAAAAATTAAAGCGAACACGATATATGTATATATATTTCGTTCGGGTAGTATCATTGGCGGGAAAATGTAGAAGAGAATATAATTCGTATCTCAATGATAAGAATCCGGCATACGAATTTGTTTATATCGATTGAAATTTAACTAAGAGAAATATTTTAACTACAGTTTATATCCTGCTTGTGTTCGAATATAACTCAAACCTAACGAAGAAATGTCTTCTCTTTCTGTTCCAAGACGTTCAAAACGTGCATGTCCTACTTCACCATGCTGATGTCCCTCAAGGAATAGATAAGTATATAAATTTGTGTTATCGTTAAGAATAAACGACGTAGAAAATCACACACTTGTGGACCAATCGTAGTTCGTTCCTAATTCCTTCTTTATTCATCTGATTTATGATACTTTTACAGTAAAACAAGTAATAATTAATCTTAATCTTATTACTCTTAATTAAACATTTAATATTACAATTGCATTTATACTGATAATTATTGTTGACACATTTACAATTAATTAATTGTCCTTCTTCATACGATTCGAAGTCATCCTGTATATTATGGAGTCCCTTCCAGGGTCCATTTGCGCAATGGTAACTGTACAGAAAGTTATTTGTTAGACAGAAGTCTGCTCTGTAAATTATATTAGAAAACAAGTAACGCACTGCTAATAGCGAGTAGGGACAGCCAAAATACCACACTGAACCACAATAGAATATTGAAAATCACTGGATAATCGTCCGAGTAATCCTTGGCTAGATTTTTAATGATCTGTAACAGGAACGACTTTTTTTATTTCTGAGGACTGAACGGATATCCCATTTGGGAATTGTCTTGCGACTTTCTACCTATTAAAACGGCTAACATAAACCATTAGGCGTCGAAACGTGTCTAATTCATTAACAAAAATAAATGATTAGCTACAAAAATTATACAACTATTGCATAACGAACTCAATCAAAATTAATTTCTACATGCAACCAATAAGCACGTACGTATATGTATACGAACGTACCTTAACCCCATTATTAACATTGTTATTATTGTTATCGTTATTAGTTTCCTTATTATCTAGCACCGCAGTGTTATTCTGATCACGTTTAGCTTCCAAAGGAGATTCTGTTTCTAAATTATTAGTAGTTTTATTTTCCTATAAAACATTGTACTTTCTCATTAGTTAAATCCATCTACGAACATTCTACATAGAAAACAGACACGTCCATACGTCACGTCTCTCTTCCTTTTTTTATTTAATTATTAAATACGTACTATTGAATCGGCTACGGCCTGCCGTTTGTGTCTGTCCAAAGTCAGCGAATGAACTTGACTAGCATCGTTCGTGAATGCTACGATCAGTACCTGATTGGAATCGATAATTAATGTTCACGGTAACTGGTAATCCAGACTTCGAAGTTGGACTACTTACTTGGCCATCGTAGGCTTGGATAAAGGCATCGTGGATCACGTTTAACGCGTTGTTCAACAAAGTCAGAGCCTCTCTAGAGCTGGTCGAGTTGGACCCATGGGCATCGAACACTGGTCGCAGACCGGAAACGACCAGCCAGTAGATATCGGGCCTGGAATCTGGTTTAATGGCAGACGGAGCCTTGTTGGCAATGGCATGAAGCAGCTGCACTTCTTCCAGATATTTCCTATCTTCCTCGCTTCTAAGATTCAAAGCTGTTAACGAAGTTTCGTCTATTGGGGTCGGTTTTAATTCTCCCAAGGCTGACTGGCCCAGCTACGATGTGGACGTTACGAGAGGTATTACAGATATCAAACGATTATCAATGAGAAGTGTATGAAATATACTAACAGCATCTAATCCATCACCCAAGGATATTCTGACCAGAGTGTTGTTATTGTCTCTCTCTTCTAAACGTTCTCTCAAGGCTTGCCAAGTAGTTTCCTCTACCTCGTTCACGTTCAATGGATACTTTTTACCTCTTGGTATGTCCAAGGAATCTACACCTTCGATGGCAATGGCTACGACGGCCTCTGGAAGCGAGAATGGATCTGTGATGGAAATACCACTCCATACTCCTCTCTGAAAGAACCATGATGAATCCCGTTCATCGCAAGACGATGAAAAATTCTATGATGAGAAACGATGCGTACTAGTTTCACAGTGAAGCCCAAAGCTGCTGCCAGAACTTCTTTCAACAAACTTTGTTCAACCTCTTCGTTCCCATTGAATAAGACACTGTTCGGGCTATGAAGAACTACAAAATCTCCGTGGGCTTTAACTGAAAATTAAACAGAATTTCAAGACCAGTATTATCACACGAAATACGAGGGACCGTACCTGTAGCCAAAATTATAAACAAGCCTACTGAAACCTTGAAAGGTATTAACTTGAACATGGTCGCGATTCTTCGAAATTCACGCGGTGTTTAGTTCTATCAAACTGATCTCACTCCTCGAATTCTATTCAGGTATTTCGAAATCTGTTCACAGCCAAAAATTAATGTAATCGACAGACACTCCCAAAAACTGTCGGGAGGAATAACGATCAGCTGATTCTTATCCACGTGACTGCCAGTCTCGTTCCGCGACACGTTCACAGTATACAGCAAATATCGACGAGGCTTCGTAAGGAATTGAATACTTTTCTAATGTTCACCGAAGGAATGCGTTTGTACGTTTGAACAAATCGGAACGAATGCTTCCAAGACTTGTCAACAGGCACGGTAATGGATATCTGTTTATTTTGCATGAGAATCATTCTTCTGTCTCACCCTATATATGAACAGAGTTGTACCCGAATCTTTTAGAGCACACCGTGTATATGAACGTACCGACGGCGCTGGTATAGCGAAGTGGGCGTCGACCAGTAAATTCATCGATTACAGCAAAAGTATTTTGCATGTGTTACCTCGTGACTAACGCATACAGACAAATAATTCTGTACAGACACACCGTATGCCTTCCTCTGTATCGATTTTCTTTTATTCCAGACCTAACTTGAAACCGAGGAAGGTCGTTCGAGGAAACGCTTCGACGAGGCTAGTAACTAAGGTAGAAGTGATCACGATTGAATCTCGTCGAAACGGACTTAAAAAATCTATAAATTAATATTCGAACATGGCTGGAAATAATTTATATAATTCATGATCGATAAATCGTTGAAGAAGAGCAAGAAAGATTCAGTGAAATATTCCCTCGTGACTGTACCAACGACGTGTCCAGCTCCGTAAAGTGTTTCTGACGGGCCTTGGGTAAGAAGAAGACCTGGGATCGGGTCGGAAGTAAAAGGCAGTGTTTAGAGAACGAGGAATCGTCGATTCGACGAAGAGGTTTCAGAAGAGAGGAAGATCACAGAGGAAAAGATGGGATCGCTTTTTAGGAGCGAGGAGATGACCCTGTGTCAGCTCTTCTTGCAAAGCGAGGCCGCATATGCCTGCGTCTCCGAGCTGGGCGAATTGGGCCTTGTACAGTTTCGAGACGTAAGCTACTTTTACAAACGATTCTACCTCATATTTAATTCAAATAAATGATCACTTACTCTCGCACATTCCTACATGTTTCATTATCGCAGCTAAACGTACATCTCTAAAGCGTATAAGTAGATGGTTTAATTAAATATACGTACGTGACCCACCGCTGTTTATTTCTTTTAGTTGAATCCAGATGTGAATGCGTTCCAACGAAAATTCGTCAACGAAGTTCGTCGCTGCGATGAAATGGAGAGGAAGTTACGATATTTGGAGAAGGAGATAAAACGCGACGGTACGTCTTTAATTCGCTTCTTCCGTTCGAGTAAAAGCGATCCTGGATGATTCTAAACTCATTTCACAGGTATACCAATGCTGGACACTGGTGAAAATCCTGAGGCTCCTCAGCCTAGGGAGATGATCGATTTGGAGGCCACTTTTGAGAAGTTGGAGAACGAGTTGCGGGAGGTGAACCAGAATGCTGAAACTCTGAAGCGAAATTTCCTGGAGTTGACCGAGCTGAAACATATCCTGAGGAAGACGCAGGTCTTCTTCGATGAGGTAAGAATCGACTTGTTCAAGGACAAATACGAATAGATTAAACTCGTGATTAATTGATTAATCCTTATTATACACATTATTGATCGCTTCGACTTACTGTCAGACTAAATCTTGTGATTAATTGATTAGTTTTATACGTATTATTAACGATAAGATTACATTTTTGTTCTGTTTTTTCTTTTTTTAAAACATCTTTCAGAGATTTAATGATCGTTTAGTAAATTTCTAGGAATAGTAACGCCAATAGTCTTGGCAACTAACAGAGAAATAATAAAGAGTGTGATAAACTTTTATTAAAAGATAGACCCATTTCCCCTTTGTCGATCTAAACGGAGATCTCGAACAATTTCTGAAGACACGAACTTCGTAATCTTTAGGAATCGCTTTTCTTTTAAATATGGACAGCTCGGATTAATCGGAGATAGTTATTGAGACTGTAGCGCGAGGGGAAATGGAGCTAGCGAAAAAAAGAGAAAGGAAGGAAAATGGATTATTGCAAAATGACCGAGACACACGGAACCGATGTTTCACGTGTATCGTTGATGCAGATGGCCGACCCAGCACGCGAGGAGGAACAGGTCACCCTGTTGGGTGAGGAGGGCCTCCGCGCCGGCGGCCAGGCTCTTAAGCTCGGGTAATTAATATAAACTTAATCCTGGGGACATTAATTACACTGATCGATCAACGAGAATTACATAGATTCGATAATATTCCTGGAATCTCCGGGAATTCGCGATGATCTTTAAGATTAGATAGGGTCACCTGTTACTTGCATAGACGTAATAGCAACGAGCTGATTCTGTCCACGTCTGCTTCTATCGAGCTTGCACAGAAGCTTGCGTTTGAGCAGGGATGGACAGACCTCGTCGCGATCTGATGTACATACATATAGTTTGGCTTTTCATCAAAAGATTCTATGGTGTTCGCAGCACCTACAGTACATCAGAGATGATACAGAGACTCTTGGCTCACAGTCCTATAGGAACCCGTTAAGGCAAGCTGTTATCAACCGTTATCTCATTAATCAACGACTTTTTGCACCCTTATTATATTATCATTATTATGCAAATTCAATCTAATGCCTTAAATGTTACTTGAGAATTCGATCTCATTTTTTTTTATTATACGGCTTTGTAGTTTAACAATTTTTTGTCCACTGACAACCAAGTGTATTGATTTGATCTTTAAACGAAAGAATCTCTCCGGGTACAGAGACGATGAAATTTAATCAATCGCAGCTAATGTTTGACTAATTACGTTTCTATAACAGTTGATACAGTTTGGCATTTTTACTTGCAACGAACAGAATGAAGAACGTAAAGATTTTATCGGAAGTATATTAAATACAGTTTAACGATTAAAAAAAAATTCAAACTGTATCGATTAGGGCGACGATTTTTAAGATTATGATTGATAGACGATGATTACATTAAATGATGATAATGTGGCCATGGGTACTTGAGATTGATCTAACAATCGAGAGAGTTTATGCAATGAATTTGTAATAGCATCTTTAGAAGAGAAATCAGACTGTCAACGGAGGTGTCCTAATATTACTTGTATTCCGATAAGAGCGTGTGATAAGAGAACGCTGAAGACGCAAAATTGGCGAAGGATATTAGGGCACCTTTCAGATGTAATTTTATAGGAGGAGATTCGTGGTAAGTTCTACGTGAATCCACAAGTATCAGCACATATATTTCATAAGCTTGATCGCTCACAATTTCGCTATTGCTATTAATATTTGAAATTGAGCCCACTGATAGGTACCTATGTAATTCCTTCTTCGTCGAAAGCCAGATCTTTGAAATACATGTGCGGTACGGATTAGCTTTGTCTGTTTCCATGTGTTAATCGTTAAGCAAATGTTCAGCAAGTATTTGAAATCCTTAACACCACAGAGAATATGAAGAATGCTTTTCAACTAATACCGTTAACCATGTCAAGCTACGATTACGACTTTCTGAATGTTCATCAGAAATTCTGATCAGAGTAGCTTGAACTCTCCTCGTACGTTTCCATTTTGTTTACGTTTTTATTAAAGATTAAGTTAGACCGACTAATGAATCTAGCAGTTTAAACGAGAGTAACTAAATTCGAATTAAAGTACCTGAAACCGTGTGTACGTTCATCAAAATTAGTGTTTGCTAATGTGGATGTGTAATTTTTTTTTTCATCCGTCCCCCTGTCTCTGTAACTTGTGTCTTCCTCGTGGTCGTCGTCGGTCACCACCTTCACGGTTTGTGACGTCACACTCGCAGCAAGAGCACGCAGGGTTGAACCCGACCGAGTCGATGACGCGTGCATTGATTAGCGATGATAATATCGCCAGGCAGACCGCCCTGGGCCCCGTCCAGCTCGGGTACGTAGCCCAATCAGACCACGGTCCTGTGCCTCTTATTACCTTTAAGATATAGGACAAAGATTGGACAAGCCTAAGCTTCGGATCGAAGGTCTGAAATTCAAATCTTAAAAGACCCGTACATCTACATATCCTCTGGACCTCACGGTTCCTATTGCTACAGGTCCTGCGATTCCTATCCTAAATCTAATTCCCAGTCCGAAACTGGCCACACTTGATTTAAACTAAACTTAATTTAGGTGTTCCATGGCTACAGAGATCATCATTCCTCGGTAAAGGAAAACCAATGTATTAGCCATTTTTAGATGAGTTAGATTTAAATGTGACAAAGGAACACAGTTCTTCGACTGAGTATCGCTTTTTTAAAATCTACTACCAAGCTTCGATGTACCGTTCCGTTTGTATAATGATTCTCTAACTTCTGGTAGTTGGACGCGTTTGGTAGTTAGACATAATGAGACACTAAACGATACAGGTTGAATGCAATTATGACAGTACATAGAAGAACATAATCTGATAGCATAGTCGACTAACACGTTGAATGAGAAAATTTAGTGAAATCTCTCTATATGTATGTATAGGGAATAGTCTCGTGATTAGCCCTAATTATAAGCTATAATCGTTACTGGTTCGACGGAGATAGCAAAAGTAATCCTGATGTTTTTCTCGCTTGAAAAAATCCTAGTTTCGTGGCCGGAGTGATACTAAGGGAACGAATCCCGGCTTTCGAGAGGATGTTGTGGCGAGCGTGTCGCGGAAACGTTTTTCTGAGACAAGCTGAGATCGAAACGCCGCTGGAGGACCCGTCGACGGTGCGTTTTATCCATCTTATCACATTGAATGTCACAGACAATGAGGAATTCACAAAGTTCGATACATCTGTAGGGCGACCAAGTGTTCAAGTCGGTCTTCATAATATTCTTCCAAGGGGACCAACTGAAGACTCGAGTGAAAAAGATCTGCGAAGGTTTCCGAGCCACTCTGTATCCTTGTCCGGAGGCCCCGTCCGATCGCCGTGAAATGGCAATGGGAGTCATGACGAGAATCGAGGATTTGAACACCGTAAGTCATTATCGCGTCGTTACGACACAACATGCTAGATACTAAAACTATCTGAAATTCTTTAGGTCTTGGGGCAGACACAGGACCACCGCCACCGAGTCTTAGTGGCTGCTGCTAAGAACATTAAGAATTGGTTCGTGAAAGTCAGGAAGATAAAGGCCATTTATCACACTCTGAATCTGTTCAATTTGGACGTGACGCAGAAGTGTCTGATAGCAGAGTGCTGGGTCCCGGTGTTGGACATTGAGACGATCCAGCTGGCTCTGAGACGTGGAACGGTAATTAGAATTTTAACGTGACACAGTGCGGAGGAATTTATGTTTCGATATTTCGTTTAACAGGAGCGTAGCGGAAGTTCGGTGCCTCCTATTCTCAATCGAATGGAGACTTTCGAAGACCCTCCTACTTACAATCGAACCAACAAGTTCACCAAAGGATTCCAAGCCCTCATCGATGCCTATGGGGTTGCTTCTTACAGAGAAATGAATCCTGCTCCGTACACCATCATCACTTTCCCGTTTCTCTTTGCCGTCATGTTCGGCGACACGGGCCACGGAATGCTGATGTTCCTGTTCGGCGGCTGGATGGTCCTCAAAGAGAAACCTCTAATGGCTAAAAAGTCCGACAATGAAATTTGGAACATCTTCTTCGGGGGCAGATACATCATATTTTTAATGGGACTGTTCTCGATGTACACTGGCTTGATCTACAACGATATTTTCTCGAAATCTTTAAACATATTCGGCTCCAATTGGAAGATCGCGTACAATTATAGTACTGTTCACGACAATAAGGATCTGCAAATCAATCCGAGCGAGAAGGATCAGTATTTACAATATCCTTACCCGTTCGGAATGGACCCGGTGTGGCAGCTGGCCGAGAACAAAATTATTTTCCTCAACTCTTATAAAATGAAGATCTCGATTATTTTCGGAGTGATTCACATGCTGTTCGGAGTCATGGTCGGACTGTGGAATCACATGTATTTCAAGAGGAAGCTGAATGTAATCTGCGAGTTCGTCCCCCAGATCGTGTTCCTAGTGTTCTTGTTCCTCTATATGGTGTTGCTGATGTTCATCAAGTGGTTCAAGTACGGACCGGACAGCGACCGTGAGTAGTTATTCGAGATGGAAAGAAATGTGCTCGAACGTTGAAACGACTTTCTCTTCTGTCTCTTTCAGATAACGACCCTGAGCACGGACCATTTTGCTCCCCGTCAGTTTTGATCACATTTATCAACATGGTTCTCTTTAAACCCGGACAAGCACCCAAGGAATGTTCGCCGTACATGTACGCGGGTCAAGACGGCTTTCAACGACTTCTCGTGGTTCTAGCAGTCCTCTGCATACCCTGGATGCTGTTCGCAAAGCCGGTGATGATGATGCGCAGCAGAAAGAAGCAGCACCAACAGGTTATTCATTTTTTGAAAGAACATCTCGACGAGCTCGATGATTCGATTTAAATAAATTCTTTAAATGTGTTCAGCTGAACAATCACGGGACAGAGAACGGTGATGTAGAAGGTGGAATGGACGCCATTCACAACTCGACGAATCCTGCGATTCCTCCAGCGGGTCAGAAAGAGGAGGAAGAGGACATGACCGAAGTTTTTATTCATCAAGGAATTCATACCATAGAGTACGTGCTTGGCAGCGTATCTCACACAGCTTCTTATTTGAGATTATGGGCGCTGTCGCTCGCTCATGCTCGTAAGTATAACAGTTCAATTCGTCGCCGGTGATCTCGAGGAATCTACGAACGTCCTTCTACTGTTCTCTTCAGAATTGTCCGAAGTCTTGTGGAACATGGTGATGAGGAACGGGCTCACCAGAGAAGGATGGGCCGGTGGTATCATGCTATGGGCAGTCTTCGCCTTCTGGGCCGTTCTGACCGTAGGAATCCTTGTCCTGATGGAGGGACTGTCAGCCTTCCTGCACACGCTTCGACTCCACTGGTAAGTTACTCTCAATGTATCGACGATAGATAGTAATTTAGTACCGAAGCCTTCTAATACCGTTCTCTTGTCATTGTTCCAGGGTCGAGTTCCAGAGCAAATTTTACTTAGGCCAGGGCTACAGTTTCCAGCCGTTCTCGTTTGAAATTATATTAGATGCGGCCCAATCCACGCCCGAGGATTGAAATTAACAAGCAGGCTAATAATAATACTGTCACTTAAACGATAAATATATAATCAAAATCGTAAGAAGAATCGTAATCGAATGCTTATTAAACTTGTATAAAAGTAGTCAATATGCATTTAGTGAAAGAAGCTTAATCGACGTTTAAAAAGGCGAAGGATATTAGAAAGAGAGGTTTCAAATGATTGTTTAAATTGGATCTGACAGTAGAAAAGCTGAACTGTTACAACGCAGAACCATGAGAAACATGAAAATTGCATTCCTGTTACCAATAACAATAAATGATGATTATTGACAAACACCTTTGCGTCTGATTCATTCAAGCCGATTTCCCTTACTGCTCGTTCAGACCGCGAAAGAAAGAGACGTACTCGGAGGTCCTTCTCTTCGTGATACACGCTTGGCGTTTAAAGGGAGCTCAGGAGGACAAAGAGGGTAGTTCTGCTTTTGTCAGAGGGTAGATCGTGGGCGTATTTCAACCCCTGTTCGGTCCAATCGCGAGGCGGGAAGAGGGGATCCGGGTGGAGTCGATGTAATAGGCGAACGACCAACTAAAATTTTACCCGGAACGTGCATGCGCAGCCTCCTGTGTTTCTCTCCTTTTATTCCGGGATTTTAGTTCCATTCGTTGCGAAACCCATTGTCAACGTTATTGAACAACGATTATTATGATCCGATCATCAGGCGGCAAAGATTATTATTCACAGTGGGCGTACAACATGGGATAAAAGTTTAAGAGCGTTGTACAAATTTCGAGTCAAGCGGTCTCGCAGTTTCTCAGACAGAAATCCTCAGGGCATTCTAAGTGAGAAGAATCAAAGAATTCATCGTTACGTTACCGGAAACTAATGCAATCGATTCGATTAACGTCCAAGCACTGATTTTTTCCCCCGTTCAACGTGATCGTTATAAACGCTTCTTACTAAACTCGTTCCTTAGAATAAAGAAGAAATCGGTTTTCCAGGAATTCGGATTTAAAATCGTCATAATAAGATGCCGAAGAGCTACCTGCAAGCAACGATGCGATAAAAGCTTAATAGTTAATAAATAGTTTTGATACTTCTCTAAAGCGTGAAATCCGCAAAACTTTTATAACAGAATTATCGAACGTACAATAAACCGTTCTAAATGAAACAATCGTCCTCGTCGCTCTCTCTCTATTTTGCATAGCACGGGTACTTGTGTCTATATGATGGCAGCGAGTCTATCCGTATTACACGCAACGATTAACGACAATGCCGAGGAAAAAGCCAAATCCGTTTCCGTTCCCGCGCGGCGAAATCTGGCGCAGGTGCTTTTTCTCAGGGGGTGTGGGAGGCCGCAGGCAAGTTGGAGAAAGCGAGACTGAAGGAGCGAGGGAGGGAGCGTTACAACAACCGTCACATAACAATAATGGCCACGTGGATGGGTATTTATTCATGTGGATGCGAAATTACCCATCCAGGCAAGATGATCATTGTCACGGGGGTTGGGAGTGACGATAATGCTTGATGTATAGTTATACAGGGGAGAACGTGCACGCTCGCCGGGCGCGACGCGTATTGCGGGGGTGTGGTTTAAATCGCCGTTCCCACCCTTTCCCGTATCTACGCTTGTATCTATATCTGTGTACCGGGAGAACTTGGTTACCTCATGAAATCGCGGGAATGGACATGATCGCGGGAGACTCTCGCGTGTCTTCGAACTCGTACCGTGGCCGCGTCACCTGTCAAAACGTAGCAACAGTAATAAATCTATAGTCAATATAAAGTAATTGTGGGAATTATAATTGATAACCGAGTGAAACAATGTCGATGGAAATAGTGCCGTTCGTCGAATATCCGTGTGATCGCCTATAATGAAGGAGCAGAAAGAGAGTGGCACAGTGGGACTCTGAACACGGACGATAAATGTCGAAGAAAGCGGAAGGGCCATCGTCGCCGCGACAGTTCTTCGCTAGGATCTACGGACACCTCGAAACTGCGAAAAAGGACAAGGATAGACCGGAGTCTCCGAAGCACGACTCAAACGTTCGCTCCGACGTCTTCGTCTGCGACAATAATAACACGTTGGACGCCGAAGAGATCTCGAGGATCAATGAACGGAACGTTGCTCGTTCAAGGGTGACACCTTTCGTGCAAGAACAGCGGCAGAAAGATCGCGAATCGGTTGGCGATCCTTCGTACTCGTTCCCAGTGATACCGCCGCATCTGCGCGCCCTTACGTACTCGCTGCCGAGCTCGGATCACCACTTCCAGGGATTCTCGGCTTTCCGTGAGTTACCGATTTCATCGAGCGAGGATCGAAGATCGTTCGGTAATCAATTAAAATATGATTGTTTCTGACGATGTCAAGTGGCTAGGAAAAGGAGAAAAGAGGGGCGGCCCAGGAGACAGCGAACCACTTTCAGTGGCGAACAGACTCTGAGATTAGAAGTCGAATATCGGAAAGGGGAATACATTTCCAGAGGCCGAAGATTCGAATTGGCCTCGTCTTTGAGACTGACGGAGACACAGATCAAGATCTGGTTTCAGAATCGACGGGCGAAGGACAAGAGGATCGAGAAGGCGCAGCTGGATCAGTATTACAGGTATTACAGAAGAACGAATAATAATTTAATATGTATATTGACGGCAGATGATGTCTTCAGGAACTTTGCGATCACCAGTGGAATGATAAACTTGATAAATCCAAATCACAGTGGAAGCTCCGGATTTTGCGAGTTGTGCTTCTACAAAAAGATTAATCATTCCTGTGTCACGATAAATTATAACAATCCGGTTAATTTCACGGAACGGCAAGAGGAAGAAGAAGAAAAATGCAGTAGCAATAACGCAAAGATTGGCAGCGAAATATCATTGGTTTAGAAAGCTAATTACTCATTAATTTTGATTGTAACATAAATCGTGCTGTACAATTTTTATTACGAAATAAATTTGAATATAACAATTAATGTTAATACCACCGAGGAGATGCTATTAAAAAGAGTGGCAGCGCCCGTGTAATCGTTGGGGTAGCGAATGGGGCCCAATTGGACTCGAAATACAGTAATTTGTAGCTGATAACTAGAGATACAACTTTTGACTGAAACATTTTTCGCTAGGACGAAGAAAAAGTTTTTGCAACAAACAATTTTATTTATTAATTAATTATTGACGC